ATATAAACACATTTCTACACATACACATGCATACACGCACACACACACACACAGACACATGCACACTCACACACACATAAATACACACACACACTCACCCAAACACACACATGCACACTTACCCACACACACTGTCACGCAAGCACTCACGCACACACACGCGCACACACACACGCACTCACGTACATATACCTACCATCAAATACTACACACACATACATATTTCGTCGAACCTGATCGAATCTCCCAGATTGTTAACAACCCGGCAGACCCAACCAAGCCCAACGTAATTCATATTCCTAAAACACACTGCCTGAATACACAGATACATACAAACCTATGTAAATTCATAATGATTTAAATATGAGGTATATTTACTACAATTACACATTAAAAATAGCATTTATGGAAACTTAAGAAAACCCGTATACACATGGAATTTTATTGTTAGTTAGCCAAATGATAAGAAATTCTTGTTCTAGTAAATAATAAATGTAAATAAATGTTGTTCAAGAAAAAAAAATATATAAAATTATATATATATAAGTATGAATTAAAGTATGAATGTTTTGAGCTAATAGACGCTTTGAAACAAGTTTTCTGTTAAATATCGGAAAAATTTTGTTTGCAATGTGTGTTTGGTTAACAGCATGAAGCTTGGTTATGTTAGAAAAAAAGAAAAAATAATTTATTTTTTTTCATTATTTTGTTATTAATTTTCATTGCCAACTTTCATTTTTGAACTAAAATAAAAGTATGTCATTTTTTATATCCATGCTGATAATGAGATGAGAAAGGAAGGAATATGGCGCTCATCATCAACCCACTCATCAGCCGGACTCTATCTTGAGCGAAGTTAATTATCCGAAACACTGACTCAATTGATGTTGTGTTGAATAATTTGGTTTTGTGTAAAATTACCTAGATTGGATGTATTGTGTAAGTTGGATGGGTTGATGCCTATTCATTCTAAAATAATGAGTGTTGATGAATTGATTTATTAATAAATGAAAAGAATCATATAAACTTCTCCTATTTGTAAAATATTGATGTAATGTTATGTATGCACGTCTGAGGTTGCGTGAGACTGCTCGAGGTTATCTCTGCTTGTTCATCATGGTTCAAAGCTCAACCATTTATATTCTGTAGAACAGTGATCCAGGCATACATTTTGAAGTTATTTTGAAGTTCAACAAGCACCATATTATTCTCTGCTACTAAAATTGGATTAACATGATGTAAGAACACGATGCCGAACAAATAAACGACTTATATATATATATATATATATATATATATATATATATATATATACATACGCATACGCAGACACGTATATGAACATGCGGTGTGAACAAGATGTAGTTTGGAGATAGCGTTGTATTTGGTAGGGTACGAAGAATAAAACAGGATGACGGTTCATCTGTGTGAAGTCTAAAGAACAAAACGAAACGAATGAATTTTTAAAATACGTGCAAAAATAGAATACAATTCCACGATTTATTCTATTCTAAAAAAATATGTTATGTAATTATATATGTATACGATTGAGAGGGAGTTAAAAGTTAGTAAAAATGGGTGTTTTAACGTAAAAAGTAGTGTTTTTGAAGAAAAAATTGACATTACCAGAAATGTTGGTCCCCTCGTCACAATGTTGGTCCCCGCTGAACATTGAAAACTTTTTGAAATCTCTCCCGATCATCAACTTTTTGATAAAAATTCTCAACCCGGACACTAACTAATTTTTGAAATTTTTTTATAATTCTGCCCTCGGTCGTTGAGTTTTCTTTTAAAAATCTTGCCCCTTCCCATCAAAGTTGTCTAGACCCGCCACTGTATGTATAGGAGTTTGAAAACGTGATTTGAAAAAAAATTTCTTATCAGTAAAAGACTTTCTTCGTTCGATTTTTTTACGTTTTGAATTTCGTTTTAACGATTCAATCTCTATTCTTAATTTAATGGTTTATCTCATAAATTTATTGAAATTTATTTGTTTTTTTATTTCAACTATTATCGGTTTATTTAGTTTATTAAATATTTAATAAATCGTATCTTGTTTTTTGCTGGGCTGTACAATTTTTCGTTCAACGTTTTTTGCTCATTTTTTTTCATTAGATCTTTTTTATTTTTAATTCTTCCTTTTATTCCACCTTTCTTTTATTCAGTCTTTCTTTCATTTTTTCTTTTCTCCCATCTTTCATTCATTGATGAAGGTTGTTAATAAACATTTGCTGACTTGGTCTATGGTCTAAGTGCCAATACAAACCAACACGTACATTGTACAACTGTGAGGGCTGGGAGGAATGAATTTTTTTTACATACCTACATTTTTACATGGGTTCGGTGCATATATCTAAAATTGTTATCAGCAAGTTTGTATACATCAATTCAATTTTTTTGCGTGTTCGTGCGTGCGTGTTATATTGGAAACATTTTGTATATACTTAATAATAAAAAATATAGCATATTAAACAATATAGTAAACTTTTTCTGAATACAACTCTTTGAAGACAGCATCTGCAGCGTTCTCAGGCGAAATGAATTGTTATTGCATATTATTGACGTCATAACTAGTTTGCTTCATGTAATGTACGAGATTTTCATCGGCTCGTTTCTCATTCACCATTTCGCATCATCACTCATTAATTTCTTATTTTTATTTCATCACGTTCACCCATGCCGCTATATTTAATCCCATCATCATGTTCGCCGACGTGAACGTATCTAACCACTCACGACATCATCCTTACTCATGTTTTTATTAATTCTCATTCTAAACAAAACACCATTTCACGAATTTGCACTTGCTTGCCTCGTCATCCGTTTCAATGATGATACATACATACATACATACATACATACATACATACATACATACATACATACATACATACATACATACATACATACATACATACATACATACATACATACATACATACATACATACATACATACATACATACATACATACATACATACATACATACATACATACATACATACATACATACATACATACATACATACATACATACATACATACATACATACATACATACATACATACATACATACATACATACATACATACATACATACATACATACATACATACATACATACATACATACATACATACATACGCGTACCTATCATCAGATTTAAAATGTTACAAGTCAGTCACTTACTAACCAGCATCACCAGACCCACTTCATCATTCATTCGCATACTCCTCACTTGGTACATCGAGGTCAACATTAATCTTTTTAACTCACTTCATCACATTCACTCAAATTAAATTTGGTGCCATCCACATCATCATCCTCATCAAACATTATACTATTATTTCTGGAAGAACGCTCGTTATTAATAAGAAACAATAAACAGAGTGATGTGCCTGCGTGTGTTGAAGTTATGGTGCCCCTGAGTATAATGAAAGAATACTTAATAATATAAAATAATTTATAATAATGCATAATAATACATAATAATATATATTAATATATAAATATATATATAAATGTATAATAAATAATATATTATAATATATAATAATGTATAATGATGTAAAATATAATAATAATACATAGTAATATATAGTAATAATAATAAAAATATATAATAAAATATAATTATGCCTAGTAATATATAATAATATTAATATATAACCATCATAACTTTACTAGTTAAATGGTGCAAACTTTGCGTTATTAACAACAATAAAAACATAACCACAAATTAGATTAAAACAAAAAAATACACTCAATCGAATCAATGATTGTTTACAATTTTTTTTATAAATTCTATCAATTTGATTTGATTATTAATTGATTCATCTAATAAATAAACAAAATAAATAAATAAAAGTTCGCGTTCTGCTGATGAAATAAAAAAAGTTTTTTTCATTAAGAAAGAATGAAAGAGTGAATGAAAGAGAGAACAGACATTAAAAGTTTATTTATATAGAAGAAAGATTGTATGCTGTTGTGGGTAAGGCAGCATTGAGATTATGATAATGCGTGTGAGCCTGGTATGATGATGAGTGTTCTCAAGTCTGCTGTTCGTTTCATTCATTCTTTCTGCATCTGCTGGTATCTTTAATATGGAAACAGTCTGAACATTCTTAAATGTCAACAAATACGTTTTATCATGGATCTACAATCTGGTTGGTGCATTTTTTTTATTGTATTATCTTTTCAACGTATAATAAGTTAATGATTTTAATTTGAAGATAACATCATATAGAAATAGATACATATCAAGTTTTAAATGAACGAACGAATGAATAAGTAAACATAAACAAACATGAATGCATTTTTTAAAACATAGCTTATAGTATCAACTCGATTTTCGTAAAACTTATTTCTACTTCAAAACAAAATTTTGTAACGATTTTACATTTATATTCAATCTTAATGTTACTTCATTTTTCGTATTCAGAGAAAGTACCAGTTAATGAGGATATTATTGTTCCAATAAAAAGGTTAATAAAAGCTAAATACACAGCTAAATTTGACGACGATAAATGCTTTCTAATTGCTAGCGATTTAGATGAGCTGAAAAATGTGATACAATCGAAAGCAGCTGTGAATGATCAGAATAACTTCAACGATAAGTTCAATGCTTTCAACGACATCATCGAAGATGAGGTCGTTGAAAAGGAAGACAAAGTTTTCAATACATACGCCAGTCCTTCCAATGGTTTACAGGAAGTCGAAGAAGAAACCATCATTCCTGTTGTCTTGAAAAAAAGTTATTGTGCCAATGTAGCGATCGACAATGATGAATGCCTGGGAAAGACTCAAGTTGGTGCGGACATGGAAAACGACTCTAATGTGCTTCCTACTGAAACCGATGATGCTATAAAATTAACCGAGGACAACAAAAACTGCAACGAAAGAGAACTAACAGAAAAGAACATTGAAGAAATGACTGAAAATGTTGAAAAAGAAATAATTGAAAACAACAATAATACTGAAAACTTGGAAAAAAAAATTATGAAAAACAACGACAAAGAAACATGTCCAAATAGTCCTCACGAAACAAAGCTATCTTTTTTCAACGCAATTAAGACTAAGTTTAAAAAAAGCCCAAAACCTAAAAAAACAAGTTCTCCGGTACCAAATAAAAAAGAAGTTGGAAATAACGAACATAAAAAATTATTTATAAACTTGCCAAATTTTTCGTTTAATAAAAAAAATAAAAATTTAAATAATTCAGCCTCCGCTAAAAATTACAAATCAGATGATTTACCCAAGATATCACTTGAAAATGAAGTTCAAACTGCAGATAAAAGCATCACAAGTTTACCATTAGAAGAAGAAAAAAATAATAATGACCTAGAAAATGCTATACCAAAGCAAGCTACATCTAGCTCCACGGCTTTTTACGCTATTGGACAGTATAAGGAATCTTACGTTGAAGATAGCCCTAAATTCCGCGTTGTGGTTGCCATTGATTTTGGTTGGTGACTTTTAAAAATGATTTTAGTTCATAAAATTTTATGAATTAAAATTCATTGTCTTAGGAACTGCATTTAGTGGATATGCTTTTAGCTTTTTAAATGATGCAACGAAACACATCCACATGATGGGGAAATGGGAGAATGGAGACCCAGGAGTGATAAATCAAAAAACACCTTCTACGCTTCTTTTGAAACCTGATGGGACTTTTCATTCATTTGGTTTTACTGCCAGAAATTGCTACCAAGACTTAAGCCCTGAAGAAGCAATGGAATGGATGCTATTTGACAATTTCAAAATGTCACTTTATAAATCCAATGTTTGTAATGTAGTTTTTTTCTGTTTTTTGTGTTGATTTCCTTAGTGGTTCTATTTAATTAATTTTAACAAAATAATATATGCATGAAAATTGAAATCAATGACAGAATTGTAACTTGGAAAAAACGATTGAAGCTGTCAATGGAAAACGGTTTTCTGCTTTTAAGGTGATAACAGAAACTTTAAAGTTTTTTCGAAATCACGCCGTTCAAGAGATCAGCTTACAAACAGGATATTCATTATCGAACGATGACATCTTGTGGGTTCTTACTGTTCCAGCCATTTGGAGCTCTCCAGCCAAACAATTCATGAGATTGGCAGCTTATGAAGTTTGTTAACTTTCAATTTTATTTTTAACATTAACGTAAAATATACAACAATTTTTCATCAATTTTTGTGCCTCATTATAAAAATTATTAATTAGGCAGGCTTAGCAAGTTCTACAAATCCAAACAAATTAGTTGTTGCTTTGGAACCAGAAGCTGCCGCAATACATATATGCAGGTTGAGACAACACCAACTGGTTTCTGACAAACCCGTTTTGTTCGATTACTTGCAATTCAAGGCCTCCAAAGAGCCTCAGTCCCAAACAAAACTTATTGACGAGTTTGAAAAACGTTCGTCATGTTCCATATTGTTCTTTTGTTTTAATTTATTTTGTTTTATTATTTAAATGGAAAAAAATGAAATTATTCAGAATGTAGATACATAATACTGGACTGTGGAGGTGGGACGGTAGATATCACTGTGCACGAAATGAATTCAGAAACCGGTCTCATCCATGAGTTACGAGCTGCAAGTGGTGGTCCGTATGGAGCCACGAGTTAGTAATACGACTGAAAAATAAAAATCGCCAATTAATCAGTCTATAATTTATATATATATATATATATATATATATATTCAGACATAGATTTGGAGTTCAGATTGCTTTTAGAAGATATTTTTGGTAGTGACTTTGTTGAGTCTTTTCATACAAAATGCCCAAATGGCTGGCTAAGTTTGATGATGTTTTTTGAGTCTAGAAAAAGAGCTGCGGACCCCATGAAACCATCAACGTTCAATATAGCCCTACCATTTTCATTTCTAGAACATTTTCGAAAAATGAAGGTTAGATTTTTTCGTTATTATTTTACATTCTAATGTTTTATTTAACTTTCGTTTTTTAAGGGTCACACAGTCGAACAAGTTATTTCAAGATACGGCAACCCTGAAATTCAATGGACTTTTCAAGGGATGCTTCGATTATCTCTCGGTACAATGACTAAACTGTTTCAACCCTGTACAGACAAGATTGGAGATTGTATAAGAGATATAGTTAAATCTGTTAAAGGTATTTTATTATAACAGTTGACTTGATGTAAGCAAAATAGTTTAAATTGGCTTTTTTACTTAGAACAATTTTTTCTAATATTAATATTATCAACTGATTTGGTTTAATGTGAATTGAAACTTTTTCAAAAGAATGATTAAGTCAAGTTCTGCCTGTTGGAGTTCATGTGAAAATGGGAATTTTTGTTTGTGATGTTTTGATAGTTGAAGTATTCAAATAATATAACTCAATAAAAACTCAATTTTTTCATAAAAATCAGGCATAAGATATATTTTCATGGTTGGAGGACTATCTGAATCACCGGTTTTGCAACATGAAATAAGACAGCTGAGCAAGTATGTTTGCGGCTCATCCGTTAAAGTTATTATTCCCCAAGAAGCTAGTTTGGCTGTTGTAAAAGGTTTGATTATTTTCATTTTCTTTTTTAAAATGGTTAACTAGCAAATAATTTCTTGTTAGGTGCTGTAAGCTTTGGTCTCAATCCTGAAATTCTCACAGCCAGAAAAATAGCTTCGACCTACGGTGCTGCCGTGCTAAACCTATTTGATGCAAAGAAACATCTGCAGAATAAGCAACTTGAAAAAGACGGAAAATTATGGTGTAAAGATATTTTTGATGTTTTTATCAAAGCTGATGAACTGATCAACTGCGGTCACGTTGTTGAAAGGACCTATGTTGTAGCAGACGCAGAAAGCAAAAAGATGTATGTAAATATATATTCTTCTCCAAACAAACAGCCTTTGTATGTTACTGATGCAGATGTTTCTAAATGTGCTAACATATGTCTAGACTTGTCAAAAGCGGAAAATAATTTAAAACGATTAATAAGAGTAAGAATGGAGTTTGCGGCCACTGAAATAAAAGTTTCTGCGGTTGACTCATCATCGGGACGGCAAGTTGAAGCAAGCATCGATTTCATTAATGTATGACGCATTTTCAATAAACTACGACTAAAACTATTTAAAATAAAAACATATCTAGCCGCAAAGTTTCAGCTTAGCTTCATTAGTTTTTTTTCAAATAATGTCACAGGAGTTATGCAGAGTAAACGTTTAAATTAATGTCAATGTTATTAATAATATCAAAAGATTGTTTGTTTTGTTTTTACTATTTTCTATAACAATTTTTATAAAAATTTTAGTTTTTGTCCTAAATTGAATCATGAAGATTCTCCACCAGATTTTTTTAATGAAACTTCATAATTTCAATCATATCATCGTATCTCCAAGATTGTTTTTACTCCTGGATCAAGCAAGTCAATTTGCAGATGATAATGAAATTTCAAATAATATCATATTTAAAAAAATTATAAGATGTCAAAATTAAAAAAAAAAACAGACAAAGTTAATAATATAACCTGATTTTTTTTTTCTAAAACCAACTTTTTATTTCCACGCACTTCGTTGAACCTTCCATTACGTAAGAGACTCCCCACAGTTCAGCTGGACGGAGGCTAAGATTTATTTTATTCTGCGACATGCGAAAATGAAAATTTTAGTTTTTTAATTTTTCTTAAAAGAAGTTAGTTTCAATTTAACTTAATATGACATGACACAAGTTATAAAACTTATAAAATTTAGCTAGCTGTTTCTCGGCTGTATGGATTTCATAAATGAGAACGATCTTTTATTCAGTAATAGAAAAAAAAATGAAAATTACAGTACAAGTAAAATAAAATAATGAAATAAAATAAAGTGTCAAATGCAATAAATAAACCGTTTTTAAATATAATTGTAATAGATATTAGTTATTGTGTTGCTGAATTTGTACAGAGCTTTTCTTGGGTTGACGTCAAAAGAGTATCATTTGTATTGCTTAATCAGTTATATTAACGTCACACATGCTATATTGGAATATGTGCGGTGCGGACAGTGGCGGATCTAGACAACTTTGACGGGGACAAAATTTGAAAATGTACTATAAATTCTCACGAGGGGTGCTAAAATTTTCACGGGGGGCCAAAATTTGTGGTGGTGTGACTGACAACTTTTTTTTGCTTTTTGCGTTCAATTTTTGTCAATGTTACACATAAAACAATCCTTTTATTTAAAATTTCTCACAACGCTGGACGGGGGCCCCTAGATCTGCCACTGCGTGCGGATGTGGTGCGTTCTGTTTTCGAAACCAATTATATTACAACAGCTCAAGATCAGGTCCTTTTAATCATTTTATCATCTAAAACCCTAACTATAAAAGTGAGCAAACCATGAATTGTCTGATAATTTTGGTGTTAATTTAAAAAAATCAAAACCAAACATTTTCGCATATTCAACCGATAAGTATAATTAAATCTAAAATTTTTGCATCTAAATTATGAAAAATTTGTTTATAATAGCTATTTGGTGTCACAAAGAAGAGCAACCCCTCTGGTAATCCAATGGTTTGGCTCTACAACAGTTTTTAGCAAAACAGGAAAAATGTAAGTGAGATCAGTTCTTTTCGGTTTTTTGTACACCGGTGCTTCGTAAAAATTTGGACCTTTTCGACGTTCGCTGTTGATGGCAAACAAATGAACAATTGGCAGGCAAGTGTAAAGGACCTTTGGCGATGGCTCAACAAGGCGCATATTTTTCTTGTCCCACCCTGCGCCGTCCAAATACAGTCCATAAACGTAGACACCTTCATTTCAGTTATTCAAAATTTAAAAATTGTCACAGGTTGGTTCACAAATGATTTAAATCAAATTTAAACTGAAATTTATTGAGAAAACCTTCTGCAGGAGCACTGGCAACGTCTTCTTTTGTTAGCTTAGTTATTTCATTATCAAGAACAACATTATCCAAAGCCCATCCTTTGTGAGCTCTTGTTATTTCTTGTCTCATAGCTGTTAAGAAACCTTGAGGATTGAAAAACCCAGCCATCCAAAAAACTTTTGGTCTAGCTTCAAAAAGCCAATTGTTGAATTGAAGGTTTCTATCCAGCAGATCTGTGCACCAAAAACCAAATGTTGCCGAATCCCATGATATCTAGTTTGATATATGATGATTTTAAGATGGTTACTAAATGCTGTTGTCTGCATTACTATAAAACGTATATTTTGGTTAGACATACAACAAAAAGACATTAAAAATTTGTTGGTTATAAAATATGAATAAAGAAACAAATTTCAATAAATCCAGTAAGCTAATCGAAAAGAACCTTGTGAAAAAATAATTATAAACGTCTTAAAACTAAACCAAAGTTAACAAAATTAGAAAAGAATTTTGGTAAAAAACATAGCGGTTTATTGAAATGAATTAAAAACAACAACACAACAATGACCACCACACGCTTTTCCAACAACTTTATTCAACGACTGAAAGAATGACTTAAATAACAATATTGAATGAATATGACGTCATCATTCTCCTTATGATCATTTCGTCATGACCATCGTCAGCATCATCAACCTCTTTATCATCATCATCGTCATGACCATCGTCAACATCAACATTGCAATCAGAACAACAAGAGAGAATAGGAACATAAACAATGAAAAACATGAACAGAAACAAACTTTTCTCCAAGCTTCAGGAATTCTTGCATCAAACATGCAATCCAGAGCGTCCCTCAAATTTTCAGACATGATGATGGTTCCATCGATAGCAAGCTTCAAATCCTGCAACGTATTCCTCACAGCCGTTATTACTTTTTGGATCCTATCTACTTCTTGACGTAGAAATATTGCCAGTGGATTTGCTAGTCCCATTTTTTGCAAATTTTCTTTTACCTGTTAGACCATTATCAATTTTGAAACCTGTTGGGGCTTAATTCCTGAGTTAAGTTGCTTTAAAACAGGCTTTCATAACAATATGACGGTGCGTGTTCATGCTATTAAATTGCACTGTGAATATGAAACAACAGCAAATTATAATGAATGGGCAAGTACTTCGTGTGGTATGTAGTCGTTGGGCAGTTTGGAAAGCATGTCATCGGCCAGTCTATAAACGACAGACTCTCTCGTCTCCCCACCTGTGGCACTCGAATCCTTTGGCTGGATGCCCACAATTGTATCAAGCATACTATTTGCTGTGTTTGTCTGATAACTGAAAATTTCTCAAAATTAAAAACTTCAATTAATTAATTAACTGATTGATTAAATAAATAAATAATTATGATTAACTCAAACTATAATGTTATTGAACTGTACTGGAATGATAAACAAACGTGATGTCGGCGTTGGGGTGCAGTCCGAAGGTTTCTGGTGAATCAACCATCGGCAAAAGATCGATAAATGCTTTGTAATCATCAAGTGTTTTACATTTTGGTATTTTATAACCTGTATCATAATAAATAATCTTTTGAGGATGCTTGCTAAAAAAACAAACATTAATTAGCAGACTCATAGAAAGAAATTGATTATAATAACAAGAAGAACTTTGATTCATTAACCTGAATGAAATTCAAAATTTTCAGAGAACATGTCTTCGTGGAACCAAATCTTAGCGTAAGTATTGAGCAGTCTTTTGTCGTAATCATCTGTCACTCTGCTGCCATATTGAACCTCTCCTATCATATAACAAACTGTAGCCCACGACACACCCTTCAGTTTTGTTCATTTGATTAAATATTTCTACTGTTACCGTTTGCAAATTAATACTTGTTCATGCCTAATGCTTATGTATACAATTTTTATGTACAAAATTTTATATAAATTTAAAAGCAACAAAGTGATTGCGAACTCGTTTAGGATCAATATCGTCCAGGTGATTTTGTATAAATTGAATAGTTGAAGTGAAATCTGCTTGATTGAACTCGTACGGAATGTTCCAGCCAATCGGCCCAAACTTCCTCCTCTCTTGAACTGTCGTGTGCAGAAATGCGATGGCGTAGAGCAGTGGCTTCCACTGAGGCATGCTGATGACGTCCAGTTGATCTTGGCTCAACAGGCCGTATGTCCGCTTCAGGTTGGCCTTCACTCCCTGATTCAGAATATTATTTTATCGAAACACTTACTGAATTTTATCAAAGTTTAAGTGTCAGACCTCCTTTTGTTTTAAATATAAAAAGTTAACCAATTTTATAGAAATAAAACACTACCAAGAACTGCATTTCACAAGAGTAAAAAAAACTTGAAAATTATTTGAAAAAATAGCCGTCGCTAATGAAAATTTCAAAATAGTTGCCTGAGGAGGTTCAGCTGTAAACTTGATAGACATTTGAAGCAGGTTGATGGGAAATCTCGGATGGACATCAGTTGTGATCCAGCATCGAAATGTTTCATGTATCTGGTTGTTGGTGGTCAGTGTATCCAACAACTCATCCAGGTAGTCGAGACCTAGATGGCAATTATGAAGAAGGACCCACGAGCCCTCGGACATGCTCTGCCCCACAAGTCGACGTGCATGCACTTCTTGACCTTGCCCCATTGAAATAGCTCCACATTCTGTTGTTCAGTAGTTTACAAATTTTAAATGACAACGAATTTATAATAATAGATGACTTACAAACTAATCTTACTTATGCCCTTCGATTTAGCCAGTCGTTCAATATTTTCAGTCGGATCAGATCCCATAGAGAGGAAACAGATCATCGGAGTTTGGTTGTCACTTTCGTTCCACATCGCTTCCATGTCTAAAACGACTCCTTCGGCAAACTGAACATGAAATGATTAAATATTTAACTTTATTGATAAAATTACATAAATAGATTACTCAACAAATATTTCGTCTTGGAAAAATGCATTCCAACCAAACCAGAGAGTTGAGTACACTGCAATATATGAATCATATATAATATATTAAACTTATCGCACAAACAATTATGTAACTTTAAAAAACTTGATAAAAAATTTAATTAAGAATCAGTCTTTAAACTGTTCTAGATCTTGAATGCAACCGGCGACCTGCTTTCCCATGACTTCACTGATGTAGAGTTTGGCCATAGGGATGGTTCTGTCGGGACACCAGCATCTGACGAGAAGCAGCTTGTGGAAGGTTGAGAGGCTGTCGTCGTAACCATCAGGAATGGTCGATTCCTCAGGTGCCTCCGTGTCGAACCATTCCTTCCAGACCTGGGTGGTGGTTGGGCGGAGAAGTTCAAAGGATCAAAACAGGGGAGGCAACATTTCGAACATACGTCATGAATTTCATAATGATGAACACATTGACGATTCATGCTGGCACGGATAATATTTTTTTCATTATTTATAATGCAACTCTGTCAAACGCAGAGTTTCTTACGTTATTTTATGCTTATAATTAAATTTTTGTACTGCAAAGGTTGCACTATCCACGCCACACGACGCACATACACATTATGTATGCACGCGCAAGCATCGAATCCTACGATATGATAAACTTTGAGAAAGATGATTGCACTTCTACCAACTGAGCTAACTCGGCCACCATGTAATTTTTTGAAATTTATTAATTCAGTTTAATGAAGTGTAATTAAAAATAACATAACCAATGTAGGACAAGAAGTTGGACAACAAATTATTCGTTAATAATTCGAAGTGTTCAAACTATAAGGCTATTGTATTAAATGTTTTATTAAGACTATGCTGCTAATAAATGTTTTTTTTAAAACCAGGGTTAAGTAACGTTTTAGATGAACTTTTTTATAGTTATTTACAAGCAAAACAAAAATGAAATTTATAATGAACAAGAGTAGAGTATTAACATTAGCAACAACACTGCTCAAGCAACTATTTCCGGTAGGGTTTTAATCATTTCTCTTGATTTTCAAGAGTGTTTAAATATTTGAAATAAAAAGAGTGTAAAAATAAATGATTAAATAAATCAGACCTTTTCATTCTTGTGCACTTGAACAAGAATTTGAGTGAACTGTGGAAGTTTGCTCAATTCAACGAGATTCAACCAGGTCATGTCGGTAATCCAGTTTGGTTTGGGACCAACAGAGTTCAAATCCAATGCTGCTCCACCTTTGTTGTTATTCAGTGTTAATATCTCGCTCACTATGTAACTGAAATTTTAATATTCATAATGTTAAACTTATTAGTTTCTAAAAACTCAAATTTACATCGCGCATTTGGTTCTAGGAAAAACCCCATAACATAAACTTTCACCCGTACATTTGTATAAGTGTATGTGTTATGTACATGATATTCTTTTTCAAATCGATCATTAGAATAAAACTTTAAACTTTTTTCAAATTATAAAAGAAAAACCAAATAAAAATTTTAAATAAATTTATATAAGTAGTTCGAAATAAATAAAAAAAGTGACTGACCTTTAATGAAACATTGGAATTCTTCCAGATGAATTGCTTTGCTCTGAAGCTGAATTTCCAATGTGAGGAGAAGGGTGAAGAGGAACTTGTCCTTCTCGTAGAGACCTCGTATCGTGTAGGAGAAGGTGAGGTAGGTGAGGTAGTCGATGATGTACTGAATTCTTTTGTGAGTGATTGGAGATTTTGTCGAGTGTAACATAGAAACATCAAAGAGTTGTAAGAATTGTTTCAACGACGTCTGGTACATCTCGTTGACCATGCCCATCTTCACAATGAGGAAGTACAAAACTGACCCTCTGGTAGCCACTAACGAAAAAAGTCCAATTTATGAATTTATTGTTATAACTGATATTTATAATTTGAAATAGCTTATCAATTTTTGGTGCACACACTATTGAATCAAAAAATATATAAAATAATTATTCAAAATATCCTAATAAAGATATTCGAGTAATTTAGTGAAATAATTGATCAGACAACCTAATGAAAAAATTTGATAAATTTGTAAACCTGGTCTGAACTCTTCTCTCGCCGCATTAATTCTTATTTCAGTCTCAGCAGCTACCGACAGCTTCTCAGTAACTTCCAACGCCGTCTCTTTTGTGCTGGTTAGTGCTTCAATCAATGTCTCATCTTCAACCAGAGAACCCTTCGTCGATGTGAGATGGAACAACAAGTTGTCCTCCAACTCCTGCATCTTCCTTTTATTGTAGGTCACCTCTGCTATCAACTTTGTCCTTTCTGCTTCTAGTTCCTAAATGTCGATTGAATGATTAGTTGATTGATTATTTGCATCAATTATTACATTTTTGTTGCGCGAATGAATGTTAAAAACAAATAAACCTTCTTTTCAGTCAATATGACAATACCAAGCAGTTGATCTTCTAAACCTTTTATTGTAACAGTGAAATCAATGATAGATGTTTTAGCACTGACTTCGGGAGTGTAAGCTGGATTAGCTAATTTTGTTGTCATGTACATTCTAAAGCCACTGTGCAAATCAACTTCTTTATCGCCAACTTTTACTTTGAATGAACTTCCAGATTTTATAAAATTTTTTTCCAACAAACTGTCTAAAGCAGGATCCAGTTCTTCACTGACATCTTCAATTAACAGTGGGTAGCCGTTTGAAAGAGCTTCTTCAAGATGTGAACGGAATGATTTGTGATTCAACGTAGTAACCTGTACAAATTAAAAGAAAACAGTTGAGAGTAGTAAAAAAATTATAAATTAGGATTGTTAGATCACAACTATCAGCCGAGTTGCTTTGGATGATTAATAAACTCAACTAACCACCAGTTTGCTCGTTCCCTCTCTGTTTTTTATCCAGACCTTTCCTTGATTTTGTGGGTCAATAAGAAGAGGATATCTGGCGGATTTAGTGACAATGAGACCATTTTGAATGGACAACTCATCGCTAGGCAGTCCCTGGAGGCTCCATTCACTGATGGTAGTGTTGTCAACTAACATTGTGATCACGTCGACATCCTGAAGCGCAGGTTAACATTATGCAGTTTAATGCATACTCTTGTTTCAAACTAACTTTAAGCAATGAGTGAATTATTATTTTAATTTTAAACATACAAAAATATGAAATAATAAAAATAAAATTCGAGAGACGTCAGTGTATGGAATGTTGTTTTCGATGAGTTCTTTCTTCCAGGCGTTGACCAACTGCTTCCTGTACTCCTGATTGAACGGACCAGCATAGGATAGGAAGGCAGTGGCCAACAAAACATCACCAACAAGTTTCTGGATTTGAGATTCAAATGTTTTGCTAGCCGACGTCCAACGAATTTTTTCCCCAGACAAACCATCGATCAGAGCTCGGGCGGTTGTCATTTTGTGGCGGCAATTGTTGGCATCATCGACCAATGTCTATAAATTTGTAGTTGAAAAAATCAATTCTGTAACGTCTTCTGATTTCACGCCAAATAAAGACAAAAATTTTTTTAAGGCAAATTATCAAAAACAACACAATTGAGTGGTGATATAAAATAAATGCAACTGTGAAGTTTGATGTTTAAAGATTGAGTCTTAAACTACCAAATATTAGTAAAAATTTAAAATTAAACAAATGAAATTAAGTACTTGTTTTTCGGTCATAGCTTGGTCATATTGGGCTTGTACAGCTTCTAGTTCGGCCTGCTTCTCGTCCAGTTGCATTTGCGCCTTGTTCAGATCCTTCATTGCTGCCTCGTACCTAGCTTCCTGCACTGCCAAGTTTGCCTGTATTTGCAACAATTGTAATCTATCTGAAAACTACAATTTCCTGTAAAATTTTACGGTAGAGTTTAGTGAACATCGCAAAAGAATACGTTTAATTATTCAAATTTGACAACTCATTATTGACATTTATTGCACTAAAATGAGGATAAAAATTTACAGTTTAGCTTTAATTTTCTAAATTCAACAAATATAAAAAATGAGCAGCATTAACAGCATTAAAATGTCAAAAGCAAATTTTAACCTTGAGGGGCAGAACTTCTTTGTTGATGCCATAGAAGTAAGCCATGGATTGAGTCCAAGAAGCCAAACCAGCAACATCTCCACAGACTTTCCTGGCTGATTCCATGTTATAATCTTCCATTTGCAAGTATGGTTGCAGCAATTCGACCGTTTCTTCGTTAATTGTGTCCTGTTGATAAATTAGTCATTCATTAATTTTTCATAAAACATTACATTCAAGTTTCGCAGTTTGTTTGAATTTAGGCACATAATGAAAATTTAATGACAGCAGAAATAAGACTAACTTTGGGAAAAGCCAGTAGACCTTGAAGAATATTAGTGGCACTCATTAGTTTCAAGGCTTCATGCCATGATGGCTTTGGACAAGGTCGATCTGGATCAATTGTGACCGGATCAACCCTTCGTTGAAACAGCAAAAGTACGCAATCCATTATCCTCATTATCAGGTGTGGAGGTTTAGCCAATTTTCTCACTGAAACATTCAATAAAGTGTTAATTCACCAAGCATTCCTATCAAAATGATATTTCAGGGGTTGTTAAGACGGTGATAATTGCGATAACAAATAAATTTTAAAATACGATGTTACAGGAACGAACCAGTGGCAATATGTGCAGGTTTAATGGTCTGTAGAGCTGCTTCAGCCTCTTCTAAAGCAGGTCTTGCTGCTTCCAACTTCTCCTCGGCTTTCAATTTGTCCATCTTGCATGTTTAATACGATACCAGTTTTTATAATTAAAATATATTTTTTTGATTGGTTAGTGTGATCATTAAGAGAAATACATTAATTGTGAAAAATCAAATTAAAAGCTATGGAAATTGATCTTAAATAAAAATTAATTCAAGTTATGATTAAACAATCACCGATATTTCGTCGACAATTTTTTGAGCTTTGTCCTTTACTTTTTCAACTTGTGCTTTAACTTTTTCTGCCGCCTGAGCTGAAACCGTAACTTCAGCAAGTACTTTGTCGGCTTTCTTTGAGGCAACAAATAATTCTTTTTCTTTAATTTCTAACTCTTTAGAAAGTTCATTAACATTTTCAGTAGCTTCAATCAGTTTCATCAAACCAGTGTTCATTCTTTCAGCCAGCTGGCCTATTTCAGATCTTTTATTGTCATAAATTGTTTTGTAGCCAGATATAAACGATAAATACGACTTTGGAGTAACATGAGTTTGACGACGAAACCTCTGAAAGTATTCAACGCAAGTCTCAGATACTGAATCCTGCAACCAACCAAATTTCAGAATATATCAACAAATCGTAATAAATTTGTTCAGTGCTACAAAAAATCTACAGAAGTGAGTAATGGTAAACTTGCACTATCAAGTGTGTGTTTGTAGATTTTTTTAATTTTATGCAATTTGTTTGTTATTAAATGTTGTCAAAATTAATTTCGCTACGTAACAAAAGTTTTTATCAAATATTTAATTCTTTTTTCATTAAAAATGTCTTAATTACAACCACATGAAACTTGGTACTAAAATTTTAATACAAAACCTGAAAATTCCCCATGGACCTGATAATTGATTGTTTGACAACATTGGAGCACACAAGGTCGTAGTTTGTGAGGAAGTGCTTTGAAACGGCAACCAATGCATCTTTGGGCCATTTCTCAAACCAATCCATGGTGCATCCAGAAATCAAACCGGGAAATTTCAGCGATCGACTTCGAAACTTCTCACCAACCTTTGTCGTAAACAAATGTCACTGATGTAATAAATGTAATGCGTGTCATATATGTAATTGAAATATTTTTTTTTACAAATGAGCATAAATTATGAAAAAACATCGAAAGATAAAAAGATGTCGCCATTAATCTGTTAAACGTTCAATTCGATTAATATCTAAATATTTTGTTGTTGCTTACTAATTTTATTTTTCATAATGCATATTTAACAAACAGCGTTATTTCTGATTAAGGCATATTATAATGAATTTACTTATATTTTATTATAAAAAATATTAGTATTTTTAATTTCTGTTATAATAGAAAAGGGCTTTTGTTGTAGTAACAACCAGTGAAGCTCAATTATGGAATGCATGTAGTATTCCCATCAAAGTTGCTTAAAACATGAATTAAGGTTAACAACATCTTTCCATTGCCAATTCCAAGAATATTTATTCAGTAAAAACATTTTAGCCTACCACCATTCAAAACAGTTTGCAGTTGTATGAAGTTGTTCACTAAACCAAACACGAACCGGCGAGAAGCAGAGGACGACGTGCAGGTTTTTCTTGACCCGTGCGGTGTAGTAGTTGTAAAGGTTCTCATTTGTAGGAGGACGTCGAGGAAATTCTTTCTTCATGATGGGCACCAACTCTTCCAACATCTCATCCATCTCATCCCTCGCAAACAAATTGGATACCTGAGTTGATTTTAAATGGAATTCATTCTTTTTATTAGGAGAGTTTTAAAATAAATTATCTTTTAGTATCGAGTTATTCCATTTAAGCTTTGAACCTTAGAAATAGATTGAAGACCTCAGGTTTATGACATGTATAATATACCTGCAGTAAATATGTAGAACGCAGTGCTCTACTTCAGTCGTTTTGTTCGTAATAATACATATAAAATTTGGTAAGGTTTTTGGATATACATTTTTGTTAAATATGTCACTCCATTTTTCATTTTTTCCAATTCTTTCCACCAGTGATCAATCATGTTGGTCTTTGAATGTTCTTCTCCACTGAAGACTATGACCCTGGTTTTATAAGCATTCCATTCCCATCCGAACCAAATCTCCCTCCGACAACTGGAGTGATCCGATCAGTGAGTGCATGACCGTCTTATGGGTTGTTTGCAGCGAGGAAAATGTGCTAATAATACTAAATCAGACTTTCCGGTCCATATGATGGCCGCAGCCAACATTGTTTGAGGCTAGCGAAAACAACAATGCACATTAACAAGTTGGCATAAAGTACTAAGCCTAATAATGAAAATGCTGCTGCTCAATGAATGAATGAATGAATGAATGAATGAATGAATGAATGAATGAATGAATGAATGAATGAATGAATGAACGAACAAACGAACGAACAAACCCACGAACGAATGAATGAATGAATGAATGAACGCAAACCCACGAACGAATGAATGAATGAATGAACGAATGTACGAATGAGCGAATAAACAAATGAATGAGTGAGTGAGTGAGTGAACGAATGTATGAATGAACGAATGAATGAATGAATGAATGAGTAAATGAATGTATGAATGAATGTATGTATGAACGAATGTTTGAATGAATGAACGAATGTTCGAATGAATGAACGAATGTTTGAATGAATACATATAGATCAACCTCGCCAGAACTGAGAACGTTGTTCATATACTCGAGGAAGCCTTCGTCTTTGATTTCGTTGTCAGTGAAGACGAATGTGATCCCCTTGCCCTCGGCTCCTGCTGTTCTGTAGAGATACTTCAGGTCCTCCATGAAGTTCGAGGTCGAATATGATCTGATGGAGTTGGAAAATATAAAAGATGTTTATTAAAATCATAAAAATGTAAAAAATGTTGTCTATACTAATTGTTCTAAAATTAGTCGTTTAAATTATTTGATAACTTTTAATTTTGTGAACGGAAATTAATGATCCGATTTGAAATATATTAAAAAAATTTGAAATATGTGGAAGCGGTTAAATGTAATTAACATGAAATAAGTGAAAAATTGATCATAATAATTTATTTAAAATATTTTATAAAAAAATTAATGGAAATCAAAAAAGTGTAAACGCAAAATTCACCTTCCTCTGAAGCCATTTAAAAATATTTGGCACGTTTGAGACAATGAATTTCAAACTAAAAAAATAATTTATCATTTATTTACAGCCCATTCAATGCGTATCAAAATATGAATTATTCAAATTAAGTAACCAATTGTTTTTTACCAATTACTAAAAAAAAATTCGCATTTCACAAATAAAATGAAACAAAAAAGTGAGCGAAAGTTGTGAGGGGTATGAAAGGCCAACCTGGTGAGTGTGATTTGGAAAACTTTGTATCCAGCAATGTTAGAGGCCAGCCTCGTCAGGGACTGCTTGCCCGAACCACCCACTCCGACTAACAGCACGTGCCCCTTCGGCATACCTATCACCCGAGATATCTTCACCAGATTCGTCATTGCATCCTGAAAATTAAAGCTAATTCAATTAGTGAACAGACATAAGCACGTCAAATCGTTTTCGTCGTTCGTTATCTAACGCTGAACATGCTGTGATTTTCATCAATATATATATATATATATATATATATATATATATATATATATTATATATATATATATATATTCGCGAAGCCCTGTACATCAACAAATACAAACCAACATTAAACAAACAATATAATAGTTTCGATCATACCCTTCAATTATTTTCTCAATATCGTGAACTGATACCAACGATTGCAGTCGAAAACAAGCCAGCAGACATTTCAGTACCTAAACGATACGAATATCGCTCCTAAGTCTGACAATTTTCAACCAGTTAATACACAGTTATTAACGTCACGTCCGAAATCCATGGCCATCACGTCACTTGCTACCTTATTCAATAACTGCTAAATTATTTTTATATTTTCATATTTATATTTTTATTACTTATCTTTCTATAATACTTATTTTAATAACATCATTTTATTTTGTTTCAAATTTTATTTTATCTTTATCTAAATTATTTATTTTCATAATTTTGTTTTAATTTCATTCGTTTAAAACCGTTTATTGTTTTATTACAATATTTTATTATTACAAGGTAACATTTTTTCATATTTTACATTTTCATATTTTTAATTTTCTAATTACAACGTCATAATTTCATTTCTTGTACTTTTCATTAAATTTCTTGATTTTAATGTTTAAATTATAATTCAATTTTTGATATTTCGTAAAACCAGGCTCTGATGATGACTGTATGTCGAAACAACGTCGTAAGCCTAGAATGACACATAATGATAATAAATATGAATTAAAACAGCTTCGTGTTGTCGAAATCCTTATTAAAAAATTAATTAATGCAAAATGGGCAAAAATATTTAACAATATTTGCATATATATATATATATATATATATATATATATATATATATATATATATATATATATATATATATGCAAATATATATAATAGAGTTCGGCATATAACAACTAAATTGTGTTGCTCTGAAAAAGAGAAACGATTTTATTAATAAAAAATAATAAATTAATTAAATCAATTTAGCCTTAATTAAGTAAATGTCGTACCTGAAAAAGAGAAAGAACAATTGAAGCTATTATATATAATAACCAATATTAACTAAGAGCTAGAAGAAATATTCAAAATATCCAAATAATTTCAACTTAAACAAAAACTTAAATTTAATCTGTCAAACGTAAAGCTTAAGAAATATTCAAAATATCCAAATAATATCAACTCAAACAAAAACTTAAATTTAATCTGTCAAACGTTTCACAATTTACACAATAACGTAGTACACCATAACTCAATTCATAATGAAGTGGAAATCCTTCATTACATCTCCCCCTCAAAAGAAGACTTAGATTCATCCGGCACAGGAACAAGTTTTGTAATGTGGAAAAGATTGGATTCAATGAATTGAGTTTGACAATTTTTCCAAAACCTGGTAGGGACCAATTTTTAATTCCTCTAGTTTTTTTTCTATTTAATGAATTTCCGTTTTCAACATATACCAATTTTCCTATTTTTATTTCGTACGTTTTCCTTTTTTTATCAAATTGTTTTTTATTATAATTGTGTGATTTTATAGTTCTTTCCAATGCTTTTGTTCTATCTTTCAATAAATCATTATATATCATGTTTTTTTTGATTCCTCTGGTAAAATATTATCAATTTTTCCTTCCAATAAATATTTTGGCGAAAAACCTGTCACAGAGTGTTCGGTTTCATTATATTTTTTGTACAATCTTGAGCAATAGTTGTCCAGGCTAATTTGTTTTTCTTCTCATTAATCGTGCACCTTATTTTATTGATTAATGTTTGATTTAACTCTCATTGAGCCCATTTGAAAAGGGCGCATTCACTGCAGTGAAAACCATAGTTATATTTTTTCATCCAGAAAATTTTTAAATTCCTTTCAGTTTATACTCGGATATTGATCCGATAGAATGAAACCTATTTTATTTTCTGATGATACTGTATTGACAAGTTTTATAAAATCGCTTGAACTTTTAGTTTTTGAAGTCAAAATATATGCATATCTTGTGAAGTGGTCTACCAGAAGATGCAAATATGTTTTAGTTGAACGTGAGCCACAAAGTCCCCCAATGGTATCAATTGACTTGATTTTAAAAGGTTTTGTAGCGGGGCCTAGATGGGACATTAATCCAAATTTATATTTAGATCTGGATTTATTTTTTATGCAGATTTCACAAGTTTCGCAAAATTTTTTGTTATATACAAGGGTTTTATTTTTTTCCATTTGTTGTATTCCTATGTGACCATATAAAATGTGCGTGTTTTCTATAATTTTTATACTAAATTCCTCAGTCAGTAAAATCTTTTCCGTTTTTCCCACCTTTTTGTAATATACTGTGTCTTTTAATGATAGTCGATTTTGGTGTTGTTTTATGTTTTCGTTTATTTTTTGTTCCTTTTGAATGTTTTCAAGTGTAACAAATTTACAACTTTCAAAATATCTTCTTGGTTTCATATGATTCCAATACAGGATTCTACTCAAACTGTCTGCTTCTAAATTATATTTTCCTGGTGAATATTTTACTTCAAAATCAAATTGTGACAAATAATACGTAAGATCACCTAGTTCTTCATCTGGTCCAGCTTTAATATTCAATTTTTCTAAGGGTTTATGATCAGAGAAAACCGTGAATTTTTTTTTCCCATGAGCCAATATTGCCAATATTTTACTGCTTCTTTTATAGCTAAGCACTCCAAATGAATGGCTTTTTTCTTTTTTTCTCTATCATTTAATTTCCTTGAAAAATATGCACAAGGCTTTTCTTCTACATAATATTGTGGTTGCTTCAGGACAGCACCTATACCCTGTATACTAGCGTCTGTATAAATGTGTATTGGTTTGTCTGGATCAAAGATATTTAAAATGGGGCTCTTACAAAGTAGATTTTTTATTTTATCAAATGATTTTTGACATTTTTTCGACCAAATGAACTGTTCATCTTTTCTTAACAATTTATGCAGTGGCTCTAATATAATTGATAAATTAACTACATATTTTCCATAAAAATTAATTTTACCTAAGAACTGTCGAACATTTTTCCGTGTTTTGGGGACAGAAAAATTTTTTATTGCAATTAAATTATCTTTCAATTGAGTTACTGTGTTATTTTTTATTATATGACCCAAATATTTAACTGAGTCTTGGGCAAAGTTACATTTAAAATTTTTTATCTTTAAAGTCATTCCAATAGATTTTTCCACACCATTAATCGTTTTTAAATTTTCGTATTTATTATTCGTTAATTTTGAATTTGTTGACAATAATTTTGAATGTATTAAAGATACATTTGATCCTGAGTCATAAATTCCTAAAGTTTCTAAAGTATCATTTATTGTCAATTTTATTTTGATTAATGGTGGAATTACAAGTTTTTTGAACTAGTTTCATTTAACTGGATTTCTAATTCAGAATTGTTAATGCTTTTAATGTGGTCTCTTCGTGGTCGATCACTGTTTTTGTTTTTGAACCAACATCGTGATTCTGGATGATAGCGAGTTCCTTTTTCTTCTTTTTCACAAATTCTGCATGGCTGCCGGTCTGTGTCATGTTTCTCCTTAATGTTGCTTTCAAAACTGATAATCTTTTTTTTACAAAATTTCTTTTTTTTACTAAATGCTCTAAACCTCGAATATTATTAAATAAATCTTCAGTTTCTTTTAAATTATCTCTATCTATTTTATCCGCTATAAAATATGGTAGCCTTGTAACGATTAAATCAATGCGAGTTTGTTTATCCATTGATTTATTTAATTCTAATAATAATCTTTCTTTTTTTTGTGCATATGCTAATAATGATGAGTCTTGTTTGTGTTTAAATAAAATTGCGTACCGGACTGGCGACCAACCTTTGTCAACATAGGTTTCACAAAAGTTTTTTTTCCACATCCACCAATCTGAATTTACACTATACTTTATTAGCATAGAATTGTACCAGTCCATACACGTTTCCTCTAAAAATAACCTCAGAGCCTCAATTTTTTTTGTATCTTCATCTATTCCTAAACGAGCACATTCTGTTTCAAAAATATTCATCCATTGAGAAACATTTGATGTTTTTCTTGAAAATTTATCTATTACAAATGTTCTTGTTAGGTTTCCTATATGTTGAGGTTTATTTATTTCCTTGGTCATTTCTGTAAAATTCTCCAATATTTTTGACAGTGTTTCTTCAGAAATTCCAGTCGTAGCTGTCAGTTTCGGTGTTTCCGCAGTAATTTCCTATAGTAAATACTCATTTAACTGCATATTTCCATTTTCATCTATATAAACATTTCTTATTTATGGCGTTAATGAAATCCATACTTGTCTTTATTCATGTCTTCTTTGTAATGTAGTTTTTACTTTCAGAAAAGTTTCAGTCTTCATAATTGTCTCATGAAATTTTACCGGCTGAAATTTATCCGGAATTGCAAATATGCGGTTGTTCATATCCGTAATTGAGGTTATGCATATTACATTTGTTTTTGGATCTTCGTTCGATTTTACTATGAATTCAAATTTCAATTTGTCCATGGTTCAATAGCTGTAGAATTGTTGTTTTATAATAGAGTTCGGCATATAACAACTAAATTGTGTTGCTCTGAAAAAGAGAAACGATTTTATTAATAAAAAATAATAAATTAATTGAATCAATTTAGCCTTAATTAAGTAAATGTTGTACCTGAAAAAGAAAAACAACAATTAAAGCTATTATATATAATAACCAATATTAACTAAGAGCTAGAAGAAATATTCAAAATATCCAAATAATTTCAACTCAAACAAAAACTTAAATTTAATCTGTCAAACGTAAAGCTTAAGAAATATTCAAAATATCCAAATAATATCAACTCAAACAAAAACTTAAATTTAATCTGTCAAACGTTTCACAATTTACACAATAACGTTGTACACCATAACTCAATTCATAATGAAGTGGAAATCCTTCATTACATATATAGTATAGTTTATATGGTAAGTACATATTCATTAATAATCTGACATAGATAAACCTTGAAAAAAACAAGATCCATTTTTGCGCCTCTGATGCTCTCATTGTACTGCTGCTGGTACATTTCCAACCTTTCTGACAACTCCTGGAAACTGTTGATGGGCTCATAAATCTTCGGCGGTTCGCTCTCTGTATCCTCTCCTTCCTCCGTTCCTGCGTTCAAATGCTCACAATAACAACGAGCATCTCACTTGACAATCAATGTATCGAAAGGTCCTACCGATTAAGTTTTCACGATCAGTTTTCTAAAAAGACACGCAAGACAAGCACCATCTAAAACAACACACGCACATGACGAATGACAAATAACGAAAATTAATTATAATGAAAAAAAAACTTACTGGCCATCATAGTCACTGTGAAACATAAAAAAAATTTCATATTATTTGAAATGAAAAAAATCACAATAAAGATAAACACAATCAAGAAAAATGCATAGATTAGAAATATAAATTTAAACACATCGACACATCTAATAAAATAGTTGAATGAAAAACATCCGACCAGTAACTTCGGGAGCGTCTCTCAGGAAATCAACAAAGTAGGGCTCGACATCAAAGTCGTTCTCTTCGTCAAGCAACCCTTCATCACCCGCCACCTTGCCACAAATTAATAAACGTAGCAGCTGAAGTTGAACATAAATTGTAATATCAAACGAAGGAAAGAACCCTACAGACCATCTTTATCGTTTTCTCAAACCAATCTTTGTCCTCCTGCATTGTGAACCTATCGGATATAACCCGACAACATTCATGTTTCCATAGCAACAACAACTTGAAGGAACTGCTGATGACGTCAGCTGACGCATTCAACATGCCCTGAAGTGGTCATTAAAATAGGTTAACAGTGAAGTGGTCCAAATAAATTTTATTTATAAAGTTCGACTCGGTCATTAAAGTTTGGTTCTTTCAGTATTAAAAAAAATGTTTCTCGCAAATCAAAAACCCGAATAGGTTATTTGAGGTTAAATTTAAACATTTGTTTAAATGAATTAAATGAAGCTACGATGAACATAGTATGACTGAACAGTTGCAAATTATTGGCTTAACTGTTTCTTGTAGTTACGTGCATAATTAAACAGAGAAACAGTTTCCCGAAAATTCAACTAGGGTAAAACATTTTAATTGCCAACTTAATAGTTAACTAAAACATTTCAGTTAACTTATTTTTTTTTCAAATCACGACTATGATTTTCAAATAAGAATTTTAAACTGAAAAATCACATTTGAGATTTTTCATAATTTTGAAGTCAAGAACATTTACACAAGCTGGTGTTTGACCGATCTAAGAATAAATAAATACACCGTGTAAAGTTAAACTGAAAATATAAAACTATACAAATATTTTAAAATAAGAACATTACTAAATTTACTGTTTACAATTTTTCAACATAATTTATAATTATAAAAGTAATTTTAATATAAAATGTATGTGTTATTAGCCTAACAAGAGTTGTTATTCCAATTCATTTTGTCATTATTTAATGAATGTTTTAAACTAAATTGTGCAACTGAAACCAACTGACTTTCATGAACTTAGCTGTCAAAAGCCCAAAGTTTTTTTATTTTTATTGGTTTTTAAATTTGTTTTTAAGGGTAATTTTTAAAAATGACTAGTAAAGACACGGCTTGATATGTTACAAGGTTAAAGTTCAATCAGATTCTGTCAAGAAAAAATTACCAAATTGTTACAAAATAGTTTTGAAAAGTTTAATTACTTCAATTTAATTTAGATAATTATTCTTAAAAAATAAGTTTATAACTATTAGAAACAAAATATTTGTAGTTTAAAAAAAATATTTAGCTAGTTGCCATTCATTAGCTATGAAGTAGTCATCAGCCTAGTGGAGTCAATATAGTGATTTTATGTATAATTAAGCGACATTTTGGTATTAAGAAATGATATGAGAAGAACCTGCCAAATTCTGCTAAGATCTCTAAGATTGAAGATGTAATGAAACTTGGCGGGGGTGGGCAGCATCTTGAACTTTGTTTTTTGCCACAACTTCCTTGTTGCTGGCACCAACTTTTCGATAACAGCTTTCAGCTGCTTTGTGAAACCTCGCTCCTGTCAAACGGTCATTTAATTTTAATTTGGATGCACCAAATGGTTTGAACATTATTTCAGTCTAAATTTGTATAAATTTTCTACATAATAAAATATTAAAAATGTTTCATACCATATACAATATTAGGAAATAATAATAAACTGATAGGATTAAATTAATATTTAATAAAAAAACTGCAGCGTTGAATAAATGATTGATAGATTGAAATGATGGAAAGTTTTGCATACCACAGTGAAAAAGCCACATCCGATAGTGGTGAATATCTTGTCGATGGAGGCGTTGGCAGGGATGGTGCAGTTGATGATGCAAAACTGCCTCTTCAGCCGCTGCGGGATGTCGTTCCTACCCCCGCCCGGGTGGATCATGGCGGCCATCAGCTGGATGTCCACGATGTTTGTAAACTCGCCTGGTTTCTCCAGGTTGTAGAATCCCCTCATCTCCATCAGTTGCCGCGTGATCTCATTTGTTACCTGCGACAGTTTACGTTTCTTTTTTCGAGGAGTTATTTCATCAAAGTAAGGCCAGTTTAAATAAATTAAACACATTCAAATAACGTGCTTATCTGAAAATAATGACATCAAACATACTCCCACGTTCGATCAGATCTTCAAAATAATTTCTATTTTGCTAGGTTTACAACAAATTGCATAGAAATGACGGAGATAAGAACAAATTAACGTATCCAAATGATGATGGCCCAATATTAGAACGTGTCTTGTTGAGCCTACAATATTATTTATGTTTTGAGTAAATCTTTCACATAATTCAATACGTTGTTTTTTGTCACATCTAATCATTATATTTATGAGTCCAACCAGTTAAGAAGATCTCACCATGTTAGCGTGAATTTATTTGAATCAAGTCACAAACACGCTCAATTAGCCAATATATTGCTTAATTTCTACACCAAAAAGGTTTCTTAAAAAGTTTGTTGCATAAAGTTAGTGAACAAATATTAATATAATAATTTTATTGCTGCTGAAAAATGATGATTTAAATAAATTTCATTTTAGAACAGAAAAGTAGAATATCACAAGAGAACCTGGTCTCCCCACTCGTTGACGACCGGCATGTTGATGTCATCGACAAATATGGTCATCTTCTTGCCAGCAGGAGGCCCATACGTTGTGCCCATCCTCTTGTCCACGTAGCTTTCTACTGTCCTCTGAACGTATTTGAAAAAAATTTGCTCAAAACGTTACAAATAATATAGGCCCGACATTGCCACATTGCCAGGCACAGCCAGCGAGATGTGCGTGTTTGGTGCAAAAAATTTAATGGAGAAATTCTACATAACAATAATAACATTTAAAAAATGTAGATAATGAAAAAAAATAAATTTGTAAATGTCATGAAATAACGAGAGAATCACCTGAAAGAGGAAAGGAGTGGATGCACTGGAGAAGTTGAAACACTTGTAGACGTGATTGTCTGGGTTGTATTTGCTGCAGTAACCTTGGATGATGACTGTTTTGGCTGAACCCTGCTCACCTATCAGCAGTACAGCTTTTGACTGTTTGGCTATTGTGTGTATCAAAAAATCAGTTCTTATGTTGTCCACGTTTGGCACCAAGATGTTCAAATATTCTGGTATTGAATCTTTTGGGTATATATATTCTGGCACCTTTAAATACGTTAAATTTGACTTTTGTTCTTACAATGTTTAAAGCAGCAAATTGAATGCACAAAGATGATGTAACAAGATAAATGTTTGTATTTTTCAAGCAGCAGTTGACCAACCCTGGTGTGCCAGTGTTCCCAAGTTCCTGAATCACTGACAACGTATTCGAAAATCGTATTATCGCCGGTAGCTTGGGGCAGAGGCAAGTTGCCTGCGTGGATCTGCATATATTCATCTACCTGTTGCAAATCATTATACAACTTTTGACGCTTCTCATTCATTCGCGCTGAAACAGCGTAACGCTCAGAGAAGTATTCATTTTCAAATTTTATGATTACTAACAAAGAGATACGTAAAAAATTAAATAGAAATATAACGATAGTAAAAACACGAAACTTAAATTATTCCTTAACATATCTGCTGAACAAAAGATGAATGACTGATATATTTGGTGTTACTGGGAAGAATGAACCGAAAGAGAAAGAAAGGAAGACAAAAAGTTGGTTGGATGACATTTAAGAATGGACTGGTCTAATATACCACGCCGTTCATTTGGCTGTAAGGTAAGTTACTTGAAGATGCCGGTGAAGTAAAGCAAGGCTGTCAAACCTTTCTTCTGTCATCTTGCTCGAGCAAAGCTCCGAGTGACCACATGAGCGCAAAGACGATGATTTTCTGCAGATGCGAATCTGATATCTCTTTGTTGTCCTCTCCCGTCGATATCAAACCACTCAGTAAGTCCAGCGCTTGTCTTGCATACATACATTCCAATATCTGTAGCCATTCATTCATTTATTTCGTAGTTTTTTCATGATATTCTAGTTGATGATTTTATTAAAGTAAAAACAAGCGAAAAATATAGACTGTTCAAATATGAAACTAAATACTTATAGGATATAGGAAAAGTAAGCTAAAAATTATGAAAACTGAACTAAATTTTTGTTTGTCGTAAAATGTGATCAGCTACAAAATTATTTCCAATAATTAGTACCAACTTACTTCCATTTTGGGATTTAATGTTTGAACGATGTATTTATACAACTCTGAAAAAACGTTGTTGAAGGCATCTAGAATGATTGTTGAAATTTGTTCTGGTTTATTCTGCAGCCAACCTGTTTAAAACGTTGGAACGTAGTGCGTGTTTGAGAAAAGATTCGATAATGAGAAATTTAATAACAAATAACAACAAAACAAAAATCTCAACCGAGCACAATAGGTTTGTAGTCCAGGATGGAGCTGCTCATGAAAACCATTCCATTCCTTGAGACGGTAGCTGGTGATGCATTGTCAATGTTGTGAACTTCAAATATGATTTTGCAGGTTGGTGACATCGGAATTCTATCGCCATTTGCTAACGTCAAAGTTTTGTTGTCATCCAAAACAGAATTCAAATTTTCAATCCATATTGCATCAACAGGACCATCGAGAACCAGCCATATGTGATCACCCTTGAAAATAAAATTATAAATGTTACAAGCATAAATAAAATTATAATAAAAAGTTGAACTAAAAACTTTTCGATAAACCTTTTTAGACTTGTGCGTTCTCCTCCAAAGAGTAGAAAATATTCCATCCGTCCAGTCGTTCGTGGCGACGTCCAACCTTCCAAACATCTGCGGGGCGGTGATGGCCTTCGGGTTCATCCGCATTTCCCGGTGCACCACTCCGCATTCAGTCATTGCTTTCATGAGAGCGTGTATGCATTTCGTCTTCCCAGCTCCAGAAGGTCCCAAGGTCATCATTCCATGACGGACGAGTTGAGTCTCGTACAGCTGGATGAGTTTGAGAGACCAAGGAGCGTGATTGATCAGATCCATCAGTTTCACCTCGAGTAAAAATATGGCATTATTTTGTTTTATTACAAATAGAAGTTGCAAAAATTTATTTAATATTTAATTAAACTGAATTGTTCAGAAAAATTTAGCCCAAAAGGATTAAATATTAAATTAAATGATTAAGGAAAAAATGAGTTGCACAGCCATACTTTATAATTTGTATCTCGTCGTAACGTGCAAACAAAGCATTTTTTAAACGAACCTGATTTTCAATGGCTACCTCCATCTGAGGATAGTTGGCTTTTTCGAGAGTCATGCCTGGGAAGAGATCTTCAATGAGAGACATGAAGAGAGGTTCGTCCTCATCCACCAATTTCGATAGATTCATATCCCTCAATACTCTCATCACGATTGTCGTTTCGCTGTCGTCAGTGTTTTTGCGCTTGGCTGAGCCCAATGTTCTCAATACTGACAATATGTTACGCAAGCCAAAGTCATAATGTACCTAGAAATAAAAAACTTTACTGTTAATTTTAAGTTCCTTAAAAATAATTAGTATTTATTATAATAAACACCTCACACACACACGCACGCACGCGCACGCACGCACGCACGCGCGCACACATACATTACATATAAATGTTTATTTATTTATTTATTTATAAATGCTTATGTGTGCTGAATTTCTGAATTTACGAACAAGCTAGTTTAAAATTGAAATAGGCACAAAGTTGCACTCAATTTATTGTTTAATCTTTTGTTTCATAAAAATATAAAGACACATGAATTGAGACCAGCCAGCCAGCCACTACAAACCTGTTTACTAAGCTGCTCCTCGCACAACTTATACAAAGTGTAAAATTTTTTTGACAGGACTGAGTTTTGTTCGAAGCCACAGCTTGCCAATTTAACGCAAATGATGATGGCTCGATCAGGAATCATCATGGCCACAGAGCGAAAGTTAATCTTCAAATTTTCAGGCAGCTCCTGGCGACCGGCATATCCTGGATTCTTTAAAAACATCAACAATTGATTTTTTAAACAACACTAAATTAAATAAAAATTATATTTTTATTTACAATAACAAACACAATCAATTTTAAAGAACATCGGAGCGACGTTTCAGTACGCAACGATACAAAATTCGCCCGACCATAGTCAAAAAGACTCCAAACTCAGCATCCATGGAAACGATATCGCCATCGGTGAATGTGAATTGTGACTTTTTGTCTTTCTTGCAGGCTAGAATGATGGCAATCTGTTGCGCTGCCACTGATAGTGCTGGAAGCTCGATGCGGTTGAACTCGTCGAAACAGCCCCAAGACCCCGACATCGCCAACCCTTTCAAATGCGGTGAAAAGTATAAAAATCTCAGGTAAATAAACTATTAGAAATGTTATAGGACATTGAAGAAAAGCAAAAATTACAAGTAAAACCACCTTTATAAATCCTTCCTAGACCTCGATAATCCATTTGATCAGAGCAGTTGAACACCACGACAAACTTACCAAGGCACCTGAAAGAATTAGTTTCCACGAACGATGCAACATGTAATCGACACGTACGTATGATAAATTAGAACAATTTTAAAAACAAAATCGTGAGCCACAACAATTTATTTAATTATTTATAGTCACCGGCCCATGTCTTTGATAGTTTCAGTTTTTCCAGTTCCAGCGGGGCCAGCCGGAGCTCCCCCAAGGGACATGCCGAGCGCTTGAGCCAGGGTTATGTAACATCTTTGTACAGCAACGTTGGCAACATTATGTCACAGTTTTGTTTCCATCATAAATGTAGAATGAAGCAAAATAAACTAATTAATTAATTGATTGGTTGATTAATTAATCAATTAAATAGTTAATTGATATTGAGGTAGAACAAATGGAAACCTGTCAGTGAGTGGAGTTATGACCAATCTCTCAATACATCCCAGATATTCATTTTGATATATGAAATTCACATCAGTAATTGATACGATGCATTTCTCTTCGTCTTCTTTGAAGTAGAACCTCGCTTGCTTCAACCATTCAAAATCGTTTGATGACTTTATGTGCAGTTTACACTAACAAAAACAAATATTAGAAAACAATAGATTAACGTTAATAATAGAGTTTACCAATTAATTAAGCATAAAATTTACACAATTTTTGAGAGTAAAATGAATGATATTAACCAGATCATCAAAAATATCCCTCTGGTGCACGTGGATGGTGATGAGGGTTTCATATTTTGTCCTCTCAATTTTTGAAAGGTCCTGAGTAGTTACTTCAATCAGTTCATTGAGGATTTCAAGAAACATGTCGTTGGTCTGTCTCATGATCTTCTTGTCAGACTTGGCATGTTGGAGAGCTGTTTCGGCATCTCTCGTCCAAATCATCTGCAAGCCCAACAAACCAACCTGGATAATTCAATGCCAACGTTGCATTTCTTCATTCGTAAAATGAAATTGAGTTAATACAAAAATATCAAATGCGGTTTTTAAACACAGTAATAAAATTATTTATTTAAATAACAATTGAAACTAAAATAAGATAATTAACTTTAAATTTGTAAAAACAAATCGTTATCAAAGTTTGTGGACCAAAAAACAAAAACATGCACTTTACTTAATAAACAGCGTTTAACAACAAATGAAGACATGTAATGGATTGTAATATGATTTTTTCTTACAAAGAAATTGGTTGACCTAACCTGAGCAGGGTATGAGTTTTGGAAGTCTAACATTCGAAAGTTGATGTCAGCGATGGCCCCAGCAGCCCTGCATATTATCCCATGCACGGATCTCCTCGATTTCTTCAATAAATCCCCAAGCCAGTTTTCTACATTGCCCTGGTTTTTTTTTTAATAAAATATTATTACATAACAAGAAACAAAAGTGCAGAAGTTAAAAGTAAATAAATGATTAGTGAGAAATAAAACCAACCACAGCCATGACATGCTCCTGCAGAGGGACAACTTCACTTTCTTGTGATATTATTGACGTTATTTTGTCATACTGCTTTTCTTCGAATGTGACAGACTTAATATTATCAAAAACACTAAGAAGATGCGCCTATAAAAAAAATTAAAAAAATAATTTAATAAAACATTCAATCATTGAAATGTACTTAACAAATAATTGTGAAGCAAATCAAAAAAACCTGCACTGTATGTGAATCACTTGCTTGTCCAAGAATTTCCAACAAAGCAGGATCAGAAACGAAAAAGAATCTTGGAAAGAGCAATCTCTTTTTCTCCAAATATCCACTCAATGACTTTTGGCAGATTTCCAGCTGTTCTTGTAGGTGAGGCAGGAGTTGGCTGAGTGTGTTGTCGCCTGTACAACAGTGAACGACGTTTGGATAGTCGTGAGCTCGTTGCATGATTTTCTGCCATGATTTATCGATGTTTGAAAATCTCTTTGCTTCTTGCGGAAGTTGTTTGGCAATGTCGCCACCTCCGAAAACTGCTTCCAAGTAAATCCACAAATTCTGAACAACCAACCAGTTCTCGATGATTTCCATCGTTGTTGTCAATTTGTTCACCCACTCTTGAATTTTTGGCTTAAATGGAGTGTTGTACCTAAAATGGACAGAATGTTGTACATTTTTTGCATACTGTGTTTTACGGACCGAAAATGATTAAAAAATAACTTTGAATTGTTTTCTTTCAGGATCAATTTTTTAATTATCAAATATTTTTTTTACTAGATAACTTCATAACGTAAAATTTTAAGTCAAATTATAATATTTTAAAATTTATTATATAGGACCTGTTGCCAAGAAGGGAGCCAAGTATCATGAGACTGTCCTCCATCAAAGTGACCGTTTGATCTCCTTCGAAATATAACAATTATTCATTTCCACTGACGAGTATTTTTATTTTATAGACTAACTAATCCACAAACTTAACAAAAATTAGACCTTTTAATAAAAGTTCTCCTCTTGTTTTAAACGTCGAGAATTGAAATTTTTGAGCGCTCCACTCATTTTCTACAAATTTCAGTTTCGCCTCGATATCTCTTTCTTTCACAGCTGATATGCAAACGTCCTATGAAAAAAACAATCTTAAATATTAGTATTTTGATACTATCAAATGTCATTCAAAACAGAATTATTTTGAAAATCATCACCATCAACATCAAAATCACCATCATCAACATCAACAACAACATCATCATCATCACCAACATCATCATTATTTTCAACAACAACAACATCATTTTCATCATTATAATCATCATAATCAACATCATCCACAACATCTTCGGCATCAAATAATATGATTTTTGAAACCAACTTCAATGTCCTCCATATTGGCCAGCAATGGTGCGTCCATAAGATTTTTCAACAAAAAGTTGTCGGAATCAATCTCAAAGGTGTGTCCAGTGATCTGAGCAATCCTGTTCCAGTGTCTCGCCTGCATGGACTTGCTTGCCATCATTTCCAAAAGTGGACAGGTCGCATTGAAGTCATCAATTGTTTTCCTCAGATCTTTGTATGCCTGCCATTCTTTCAATGCTCTTGGAAGCTTTCGACATCTTGGAAACAATTTTTATATTTTAATATTTATATATTTACACTTGCATGAATCAATTTAGAAATTGTTTCACTTGTTTTGAAAATCGAGAAGTTCCGAGTTTATTTGGTCTATATTTATTTCAACCCAAGGTATATCGTTATAACCGTTAACTTTTTCTAGAACATCGTTGTACAGTGAATATAATTTCTGCAGCAAAGCCAATTCCTTCCTGATGTGATGCAAATCAGGATACTCATTGACTGGAAAACCAAAAAGTTCCTCTCCACCTGAATACGTCGTATATTTCCTCCAATATTCATCAAATTTTGCCGAATGTATTGCAAGGCGGTCTGAAGCCTCGTGTGGGTTTAGACCGTTCCTCATAGGCCCACTGTGTATTAATGTTCAAAATGGAAAACATGTGGCATTTTAACTATTTCTTTTTTGCAATCGTTAGCATCAAGTGTACATAATTTATATTAGAAACTACTAGTTTATAACTAAAATACATTTGTAAAAACAAATAAAGAAACAGAAAATAAGTGCAAAATAATTTCTATGTTTTTCTAAAAACAGCTGAAATTAAAACATGTCTTGAATCATTTAAAACTAATTTCAAAGCTGACGTTAAACACTAGGGCCACAACCTGATGAGCAGACTGAAAGGATGTACATAATGAACAAAGTTAAGGAACATTACTTTTCTCTGTAGTCCTGAACAAACTCTTGAACTTCTCCTTTGAAGGTCTCCACACTGCTTATCAGTTTGCTCATAAACTCGGGCTGAACTGAAATCAACTTGCTACTCACTTGCAGATTCTGCCGACAAAAAGATTTTTTTTTTAGTTTCAAAAGTGTATGAAAAGTAGCAGCAAAATTAACATAGGGAAACTTCATGTTTAACTATTTGTTTTAATAAAGGTACTACGATTGTTCAAACAGAAACGACATTGAAATTTAGCATGAAAATGTTTGTGCATCAAACCCACTAAACAAAAAAATTTCAAAAAATACTTAATGAAATAAAATCTATATAACTTGTTGTTTGAGAAGCCTCCAAGAGTAAGAAAGTGCATCAACCTTTTCAGCATTACCGTCGTTGAAAGTTAGTTTGTATTTGTTAAGCATTATGAAAGCTTCTTCTATAGGCATGAGGGTCATTTCTATTTTTATCTCAGAGTCTCTTATTTCGGACATGTGTAGCTGAAATAAATTTTGAAAAAATAATTAACGGACTCACATTTCAAGGATTTTAGCACTACATCTCCAGATTATAAATGATATAGGAGATTTTTAGCTAGTAGAATCAAGTGACAAGGAACAAAACTTCAAAGTAAATATAAAATATTTCTACTTCTCAACTCAATTCAAAGATTTTAGAAAGAAATACTTGAAAAAAACATGACAATGCATCCAAAAGAGTTTTGTTATAATATAATAAATAGTTGGACTTTTCAATCAAAATTTCTTCTTCTTGTTTTGACGCATTTGTGTAACCAAAATTTAAATAAATAAGAAAAAAATGTTTTAATTCCCTTACAAGATCAAAAATTTATGAACACGTACGCTTTAATGACTGTTTAACATTAATTGGACATTAAATGGGACTGATATTTGAGAAATTAAAGATGATCAATAAATTTGATGTTTGAATCTGAAATAATGTAAAAACAATAGAAACTTTACTTTTATAGTTTTTATGTCTTCCAGATCTAAAATAGCATGATTGAGTCTTTTTTGCATAACTGTAAAATATTTGTGCAAATCGTCCATATCTCTGCTGCAGTGTTGGTTCAAACTCCTGCCGTAAGCATATTTCCACTCCTTACATTCCATCAACAAGCCCAACTTCAATGAATCGGTGATGAGATGTAAGGGTCCAATTTTGAAACTTGATTCGATTTCGTTTATTTTTTCTTCCAAGATCTTAGATCAATTCATTTTTTAAAAAAATATTGTGAAGAAAATATTATTATCAACTCAGAAAACTATTTATTTCTGAATCAAATCGTGGCATTTACTATCCTTTTTTTAGTTTTGTTGTTATTTTTATTAAACATTTTTTTAAGCAATCAGTAAATCGATCGATCAATCAATCGATCCGTCAGCCTCAGTCAGTCAGTCAGTCGGTCGGTCGGTCGGTCGGTCGGTCGGTCGGTCGGTCGGTCGGTCGGTCGGTCGGTCGGTCGGTCGGTCGGTCAGTCAGTCAGTCAGTCAGTCAGTCAGTCAGTCAGCCAGTCAGTCAGTCAGTCAGTCAGTCAATCAATCAATCAACCCACCAATCAACCAATCAATCAATCAATAAGCTTCTAAAGCGCTATTTTCGCTATGTTCAACAGCGTTCCTCAGTGAATTTTGCAAAATAATGGATCGTGAGATCCGCTCTGAACTTTGCGATTGATGTAGTTAGAAGAAGAAGTAGAGAGTTCCAGAAAAAAGAACCAAATAAAGCAAATGCAGATTTAGCAAAAGTGTGTTTAACACGAGTTAAGAAAAGGTGAGAACAAGAAAACAATTGTAAACCGGGGGTGTTTAGGTTCAATTGATATATCTGATGAGTACTTAGGAAATATTTTTAATGATGTTAAAATTTGTAATATTTAGAATTTAACGTTACATATGTGAAAACGTAGCATCTACTATCAAATATGTAGATTATTGAGCATATCAGAGATATTTTTGTATAATTTTATAGGAACTACGATGTCACCAGTGAAAAAATAATTTGCACAATGAAAGAATTTAGTTTTAAACTTATTACGATAACATTATGATTGTGATGCCAACTTTATTAGCTTTTAATTATTATTCTTATTGTTGTTAATGTTATTGTAAAAAAATATTAGTGTATATAACATAATCAAATGAACCGTATAATGTCTGAAAACGGCTTCGAAATCAGATAGAGATGGTTGTGTCGCCATGAACTCTTTCACGTTCGTCTGAACATCCTATTTATTAACATCGGTTAACATTGTTATTCTGATGTGATTTTTCATGATAATGATTATTGTTATCATTTTTTTACTTTTATTAACAACTTTTTATATTTATTAATAATGCTAATATTTGCTATTATAATTTTGCGTTACATATGTGCTAAAATGAAAAACATCCTCACCAACAGTAAAATTAAAATATCAGCAAAATTAAAACTGCTAGAGTGTTATATTTTTTCTCTGTTCACGTACGGCTCTGAGTCCTAGACAATTTCTAAAGAAATGGAAAAAAGGATTGATGCTGCTGAGATGTGGTTTTTGAAAAGAATTATAAAAATTAGTTGGGCCTCTCATACCTCCAATGAGGGTGTATTAAAACAGTCCGGTTATGAAGAGGAAATTACCAAAAAAAATCCGACGGGGACAGTTAAAGTTTATCGGTCACATCATGCGGAAGGAAGGAATGGAAAATCTAACAACTACTGGAAAGATTGCAAGAAGAAGAGATCGCGGTCAACAACGAATTACATTCGCGAAGTCCTTGTGTCACTCAATGAATATCACCACATTTCAACTACTACAAAGTGTTAAAGATCGATCGGGTTTTGTGGAGGTCGATGGTCGCTAATGTCCTGAAAGGATAAGGCACGAGAAAGAAAAGAAGATGTGCAAACATTGAGTTTAGCGTTGAATAAGGTTAAAAAAAATGCTGAATGAATAATTAATAAATAACCTTCGTCCAAAGCTCGCTGTACACTTCGTATCTTTTTATCAGCTTATCAACTTTACCCTTCAATGTCGTAATAATAGAATTTAAATATGAAACCAGTTTAACTATTTCTTTGTTTTCGGAAACAGCTTTGCTCAATGATTTGTTGCAGTAATCAGTTTGAATTAAATTGTTCATATCTTGTGGAGCTTCTAAACTTGATATATTATCCAACTGCGTTAAAAAATTTTATTTTAAGCTTATTTATATTTATTGAACTTGAAAAAATAAACGATCCAACTTCTGTTAATGAAGCTTCAAGAGAACTTAAGGACAAACACCACTTCGGAATTGATTCCAACATTTTCATAATTTTTTGAATACTTTGGGTGATAACAAGCTGAACATCATCCACACTAGGCACCATAACTACATCTGGAATTTTTAAGACTAAATCAACTTTGAAAATGCAGTTGTCGTTTGCGTGAAGGGAATTAAATGATGATTGGTCATTAGAAAATTCGGCAGTCTGCACATAAGATCTCATGTCTTCCAGAGATTGACGTACACCTTAATTTTTTTAGAAAATTAGTTAACATATTACAACGAAGAAAAAGTAACTCACAATCAACAAATGCTTCAACATTCTTTTGATGGAAATAATCAATCAACATGTTATAATTATTCGTTTCTTTAGATTTGCCATCCGACGTATTCATGGTTTCCAGCTCGGCTTCAGTTAACGGTTTTTTTAATATTTGTAGAATGTGACCTACCGACTTTTCGACAGCTAAAGTGTTCCTTGAAAATAAAGTTGTTTTCAAGATTGAATAAACAAACATCCAACCAACTTTTAACATTTTAAAGGTAATTGAAAAAGCGGATAGGTAAGTCAAAAATCGAAAATACTTAAGGGTCAAACGCACGAAATACGAAAATTTGATCACTGAGCTCTATTAGCCACTCGAAAACTGATTAAATTTCTTATTTTAACAGTTTATTTAATATAACCTAGGGTGTTAAATTCTGACTTTTTCTTAAAATTAGAATTCTAAGAATATTAATAAAATATTTATTTGTATTAATTATATATTTACACATAGGATATGTTTTTCCAAATAACACTTTATGTACATGGAATAGAAAACGTTATGCAACCTGGCGAACATAAAATAATTATCAAACCATTGATCATCCCCCTATCCACCTTAAAAGATTTAAAGTATTATAACATGTACTAAAATGTATATGGATATCTCTATTTATGACAACATACATATATACAACAGAGTTAAGCTAACTTGGCCAGCAGCTGAGAAGCGCTGAAGCACTTATTTTCAACCATCGTTAAAAACTGATTAGGTTGGACGGGGAAGGTGGAAGAAAGGCTGCAGAGTGACACAGACGCTATATCCGCAAGGATTGAATTGATACGAGATTGCAAAATATCTCTCACATACAGAACCATCCACTCCACTTCCTTGATAATATTATCAGCTTTTGACAGATCTTTCAAATTATAAAAAACGGCGTTTAATGCAATCGTTAATTACATTTTTAGATAAAATTTTGATAAGGAAATAAATACAGTAAAAAATAATATAGTTTGAAAATAATGAGAATGAAAAAACTAACACTGATTAATAAGCAATGAGTGCCAGGCATGCACTGTGAAGCCAGGTCGCAAGATGTTATCAATTCTTTTAATATACGGTTTGAAGACTTCGATCAAACATTTAGGAACCAATTCGCATAAAGATTCATAACTCTTTATTACATTTTCTAATCTGCAAAACAAGTTTATCAACTGAAAACTATTTAAACGACTCATTCAGTAAGAAAGTTCATACATACCGGTCTTTGATGCCGCGTATTCTTTTTTGATTGTATAGAACATATATCACTTTATTATTTACTTCAAAAGACATCTTGCGAATCATGTAAGCTTCTCTGAGCGTTGTGTCAATTTTCTGATCGTAGTTAACCATTATTTTATTATTTACTCTATTTTTTCTGAGAAGAGAATTGTTCAGCCCGGCTAAATTGTTGAACGAATTGTCATCCCATGCACGTGATTTTGAGTACTTCGTTGGAGTTTGTGAATGCATAAAATAAAATTTATTCTTAATTCATTATTGATAAGACTAACCAGAAATTCAGCAAGGCTTATGAGCAACTTGTTGTACTTCCTCACCATCACCTTTCCTGCTTCGGTCTGACGTTTAAAAATTAGTACGTTTGATTCAGTCTGGCATTAACAAATTAGAATGTGGATGGAACTCGATTAACATTCATTAAGTTGAACGCTCATTTTTCCGCTTTTTTCCGTTTTACTCCAATTACCCTCTATGCATTTATTCAATTTACGCGTAAAAGAGCCAATGAAAAAATCATCCTTAATCTGTTTTGTGCAAAAGAAGACAATTCAAACACGATGATGTTAGCGAAGAGGATGCGATAACGTAAGATGAATGTTGATTACATGAGGAAACCTCACTCACAAGTATCGGGATGAAAAAATTTTCAAGATGAAAGCTTTTGAACAAAAAGTACACCAAGAAGTTAATATCCAACATGTTCACCTTAATGAGATTCCCTTCCTTTTTGAACAGATCCATCTGAAACGTCACTCGGGAGACGAATTGTTTGCACCAATAAACTTCGCCGGCTGCTCTGGGCATATTTTTTGCAATAGGCGGCTTATTCATATTTTTTTCAAAAATCTCGTTTATATGATCCATGTCTTTCGAGAACATGTCCATAATTGTGAGGAATTTATCGCGAAAATGAAATCCCAGATTTGAAATATTTTCAAACTTGTGCAAACTTGTGATAGCTGGTATTATCTATAAAAAAATCAATCAATAAACCAATCAATAAGTCAATCTAACAAGTTGACTGATTGAGCACATTTGAAATAATTTATTAAAAACTTATTATATTTCAAAAATATCATTAAAAATATTCTATAACTAATTTTATCGTTAATTTTGATTCGTTTATTTGTTATCAACTACGTACCATCGGTTGTCAATATTAACTTTTAAGAATGAGCATCGCGTTGTTCCCTATATACACCTAATAGCCAAATCTTTTTATTATAATCATTCCCCAAGCAAGGCCGTATTTAGGGGGGGGGGGTTTACGGGTTTAACCCCCGAAATTACGAAAATTATAAAAATGAAGCAAAAATTAGGTGTGCGATTTAAAAATATTTATATTTAATAAAGTTTAATCCGTCAACATATGTAGGTTACTCAAACTATGAATCGAACTCATGACTTTCACAGGACGAGACGATGTTTTATACCAAAGATATTCTATAAAGAAGTTATTAAATATAATTTTTTATACTTTGTTTTAAAAAAAAGCGCAATTTCCTTCCATTTTAATATTAGGTAAGGTACTCAAACAAATTAAAGCTATAAAATATTTTTAATTAATTTAAAGAAAAAAAATGTTTAAGCAAAGTAGTTTGATGAAATTTTTTAAGAACAATAATAAAAATATTGACGATAATATTAGTTTTTGTGGCAATGAAAAGGAAGAAAATCGTAAAAGAAAACAATTAGGTTAGTTAGTTCAGTTATGGAGTAGTAAATCTTTTTCTTTTATTATCTAATTAGTTTCGCTAATAAATTTAATACAAATACAAGTATTTAGTTTTAAAATGAACAACTTTTACGCTATATTAAACATTTTTTAACAATTAATTTAATGTATTTTTTCATAAATGAACATTTTAGATATTAAAACGTAATCAAAACTGAAAACAGGTGCAAATGTAGATGAAGCAGTTTTGGATGATCCCCAGCCTTCAGGTTCAGTTCAAACTGCAACCAATCTCCATGATATAGGTAATTATGTAGGAAATTCAATGACGGATCAAGAAAAAGAAATTGTGTTGAAGTCATTGTGGACGCCTCCTAAAACCTACCAATTTCCTGTTGAGCTTAAACGGCGTCTTAAATTTCAAATGCTTTGGCTTGAACGCTTTTCCTGGCTTTCATACTCTGACAAAAAAGAGGGAGCGTTTTGTAAATTTTGCGTTATATTTGGTAGGGAACATGTGGGAAAAGGTGCAAACCAAAAAGTTGGGTTTTTGGTAACAGTATCTTTTGATAAGTGGAAAGATGCCATTAAACAGTTTGAAGCACATGCAAACATTGAATACCACAAAACATCAGTGATAATGGCTGAAAACTTTCTTTCCGTGGTTGAAGGGAGACAAAAATCTGTAACCAAGTTAATCGATTCAGAAATCTTGAGAAAAGCCCAAGAAAATCGTGCGAAATTGATTCTTATTATTGAAACAATAATATTTTGTGGTCGTCAAGAAGTTGCACTAAGAGGTTCGGATGAAGTCGGTCCAGTCTTACACAACAATGTCAATGTTAATGATGGAAATTTCAGGGCTTTGTTGAGATTTCGTGTTTCATCCGGGGATATTATTCTTGAAAATCATCTAAATTCAAATGCTGGAAACGCTTTGTATACTAACCTGGCTATACAGAACTCGATTATAATTCAAGAACAATTAGTAAAAAAGATTAATTCGGCCTGTTCATTTAGCCTCCTTGCCGATGAGACAACCGATGTAGCTAATAATGAGCAACTAATTATTTGTTATCGCTATTTGGATAACAGCATATTAAAAGAGGATTTTATCGAATTTGTTATAGTTAACGATTTAACCGGACGAGGTTTGGCAGCCACTTTGATAGAGAGATTAATGGCATGCGGCATTAACCAACAATTTTTAATAGGTATGAATTTATTTATTTATTTTCTAAACAATTGAATCATATTTCAATATTGTTTTATCAACAACTTCATTCTCACCAGGTCAAGGCTATGATGGAGCTGCAGCAAATGAGTGGAATTTTGAATGGCGTTCGGACTGCTATACAGGAACAGTATCCTCTGGATGTGTATGTACACTGCTCAGCTCATTTTCTTAATCTAGCTCTTTCAAAATCTTGTAATGTCCCAACAATAAGAAATAATTTGAGAACAATAAAAGAAGTGATTGTATTTTTCAACTCATCACCAAAGCGTACACAGATTTTGAAGAACAACATTTTTGAAGATCTACCTTTAATCAAACAAAAGAAATTAATAACTATGTGTGAAACACGATGGGTAGAAAGACATGAGTCTGTGATGGCATTCAAACAACTATATGTAGCATAGTTCACGCTTTGGAAGAGTTGGAATTATCGTCTACTCGTGAAACGTCAACAACAGCACATCAGTTATTATGTACCGTTACGAAAGGTTCGTTTGTGCTAGCAATGAATGTTGCAAATGAGATATTTTTCTATACTATATATCTTTCTAAAACGTTGCAAAAAGTGGATTGTGATTTAGGTGAATGCTGGGCCGCTGTTAAGTTAGTACTTGACAAATTTCATGAAATGCGTTTGAATGCAGAAGAAAATTTCAAAAGTTTGTTCTTGGTTTCCCAAGAAATGCTTCACTCAGTAAATGGCGAAGTCATTACTTTACCAAGGGTAACATCAATACAAACTACTCGTGATAATACTCCAGCAAAATCCACTGAAGAATATTATAAACGAGTGATATTTTTATCTTTTTTAGATCATATCTGCACACAACTAGAAGAAAGATTTATCACTCATGCTGATCTGATATCTTCTTTACAAGTGTTTTTGCCTAACAAATGTTTAAATTCAAAAAAACAATGTGATACGGAAGAAATTCCAATCATGAAATATGTCAAAAAATGTGGAAACTTTTATAGCCCAATACGCATATTAGCAACACTACCAGTTTCAACCGCAACTGCAGAAAGATAATTTTCTTCAATGAAAAGAATCAAATCTTATTTAAGAAACTCAACAAGTGAAAAAAGGTTAAATGGGCTCGCTCTACTGAGCATTCACAAAGAAATCACGGTTAACCATCAAGAAGTTTTGGACAAATTTTCAAAAAGTGGCCGTCGTTGCAATATTGTATTGTGATGAGTTTTTATAATTGACATGGTTTTGTAATATACATTAATTATTAATTATTTTCTTTATTTTATTGAACATTTTTATTTGTAAATTTGAATAAAAATTAAAATAAACGTGATTTAAATCAAAATTTTTAAACCCCCCCCCCGAACATAATTTTTAGATACGGCCTTGTCCCCAAGATTTACAGTCATGTGCTTCCAGTTTTCACTTTCTCTTCCAATAGTTCAGTGCATCTTTTAAAGTAGAAAATTTTATCTTTCAGTCCTACCTTTAACCATATAAATGTTTTCAACTTTTCAATGCTTCCCTTTTCTTTCTTATCACAAAACTTACTAATAATAATCAGGCCACTCCATTCTTCACGGCTGATCTATCTATACTTTGCGCATAATTTTAATATTATGTTTTGTTAATTTTCATTACATTTATTAAGTTTGATGGATTTTACATATCTGTCTAGAAAATACATTTGTCCAACTCAATTAATCTCTTCATGTTACTTATTTGGATTCATAAATTCAAAGCATAAAGCGCATATGATGAACTATTGGATGATATAAACGCACAACAGTGGTTTCTAGTTATTCAATCAAATATAAATTATTGTAGTTAGTTCACTGTTTAAAAAAATCATTGAAGAAGGAGTGGCAGGTGAAAGACTTCGTTTTTCAAATGAATTTTTCTCCATTACTTACACTTACATTTCAATTATTTTACAATTCATTTATCTGACGAGCTTGGCGGGCATGATTCCACATGTGAAACAAAACTTACACACCAATAGCAACGTACTCTCATCTGTTGAGATTCTTTAGTGTCGGTTATACAATTTTCCACGTACAATTTTACGTTCCTTTAATCAACATTAAGCAAGCATTATACGATAAGTTCGATAATAATTTTTCTAGCTGATTTCAAACTCATGTTAGCAATATAAATGAAAAAAATAAATAAAATGAATGAAACTTTTAAAAAAGATGTTAAAAATTCGATTTTATATTTTGAGTGAGTTGGATAACTTCTCACCCACGTACAACAACGAAAAACAAAACCAGCCAGCAGCCTACCTTGATGTTTTTCTTAAACGTCTTGTTGATGAAATCGTTCTTTAAAATAGCTAGCCTTTGCATTTGCTCTTTGAAGTCCGTGTAATCGTGCTGAAACTTGAAAAACATTATTATTTATAACTTATAAATCTACAAACCAAAACTAACATTGTCAGCAGTATACAAATTTTTGAGTTTTTAATCTTAATTTTTTTAATATTAGCAAAATTAAAAGAGATGATGCTGATGAAGAGTTGAGCCGGGATGAATAAGTTGATGATAGCTTAGATCTGTTCAGTGTTTGTGATGAATGCGTTGACACATCGTTGTGTGTGCGTTGATGTGTATGTTTGGGTAATTTTTTAAGACTTGAACTTACATCCTCTTTTCGAAAATCTAAGCAATCATAAGTTTTTTTCTTGATGGTATCCACAGCAACTCTGAAGTAGTCTGACAACTCCTCTGTCCCTTCCATCTTCAGTTGATCCAATCCTGAGTTTTCGTCAATAATGCTAATGATTTCCTGTATTTTTTCTAGCTGTCTGCAAAAGGCGTCAAATTTTCCAAACACATAATTTTCGCTGCAAAATTTTAATTAGGTAAATTATTCAATTCAATGGTTGCTAAAAATTTGAAGTGAACCTTAAATCCAACTTCAAGCATTCAACGTCGTTATCGATTTTTTGTTTTGTTATCCAAAACTGATTGATGTACTCGTTTTTGAGAAGTTTGCAGTAATTTATTCGCTTGTTGAGCTCATCATGCAAGAGGTCCCATATTTTAAGGACATCCTGATACATGTACCTCTTGCAAGTTGCTATCATTTGATTAGTAACTTTAATTAAGAGTGCTGTCAATCGCTGAGGCGTGTTGTAGTAGGAAGAACATTTGTATATGGCCCTCATCAAGCTCATCAGCCGAGTTACTGCTTCTATCATACATTTCTATGAAATCGATGATGCCATGTTCACATTGGTGGGGTTTGTAAAACAAGTTGAAAAATTATTATCATCTTAAAATTAAATAATTTAAATACATTTATAGAGAAACTTGAAAAAATGCATAAATCAAACGAATTTAACGTCGAGCTTATTGTAGATCAAAAAGAACCAGTACGTAGGTTGCAACACATTTGATAGGCCAACTAATTTTTTTCTTTAAATTTTAAATTTAGCCATCTTTTCTATTATTTATCGATTACACAAAAAACATTTCTATCTCATTCTCTATGTTTCATTCTCTGACATATTCATGGCTCAACAATTTTTCTTCTCTTCTTGTTTTCCACTTCTAGGCTCATCACATGCAAATTCTCTTGTAATTTTCGAAATAAAAACAAACTTAAGTTTGTGCCGCGCAATTATTAGGCTTGCCTGAAATAATTCAATTATCTTTTGTCAATAAGCTCGAAACAATTCGTGCCCATTTGCAGAGCATACTTTTCAATTATTATGCATACGATGAGATGCTGGGAGTGTTCAAGTCATTATTTAAATCTGATGCTTTCCATGCGTATAGCTCACGTATCACGTAGTCCTGAAGGGATCAAAAGACGCCGTGCTGTGTTTGCTGTTTACGACATCAATTCCAAGGTTTGTCTAGATAGACCAGGGGTGGGTAAAATACGGCCTGCGGGGTCTTGTACGTATTTTGAATAAAGAACGAAAAATGGCATTATAAGCAAGAAGAAATAAAGGTCGTCAGCCACAAACGGTCAACATTTCAACATTTTAGAAAATCCCTCCCTCCCGGTCAAACATTTGAAAAATAAATTTTATAGTTATATATAAGAGTAGAATAGTTTTAAATGCGGCCCTGACAACAAAAGCTTTGCCCACTCCTGATCTAAACAGAGACGCATTCAATTTAAATATGATTATGAGTGTGAGATATATATGCATTGTATTTATAATATAACAATTCATAATCACCAGCTATCAAAGAATTGAATATTTTTAACAATTTTCAGTTTAAACAAATCAGGGTTAAGGAAAGAATATGAAAACATTAAATTCACTTTGAAAGCATAAATATGTTAAGGCGGAAAGAGTATTACGAATGTTCTTCATCTATAACTTAGTTTAAACGTTACAGTTGCTGGACAGGACGGCTGGTAATTATGTTATTGGTACCATTAAAATATTGATCTATTTACAGATTTATACATAAAATTTTCAGTTTTGTTTTGTGGCTTTGTACAATAAAAAAAGGCGTGCAATTTCAGTTCATTTATAAAATTCTTTAAAATTTGTGTACGCTCGAGAGGTAGAATTGGCAAATTCCATGATGAGCAAAATATTGAAGACATTTTGAGGTTGGTGGGAAAGAAGATCATCTCTCATTATTTATTATTTCTGCCTGTACGTTCTCCTTATTTTTATTTCAACGTACAGATCAAAACATTCATTTAATAACAATGTTTCTAACTGCTAATGTTAAAATGTTCCTAACTGGTCAAAAACTTATTGAGAAAATTAAAAAATTTAATGGAAATTTAGTGACTAACCGGATTTTGCTGTATGAGCATTTTAAAAGTGCGTTCCAGCGTAGACAAATATTTGACATTGTCTTTGGCTTCATTTGAAGCATCAGTGATCCTAGAATCCTGTTTATTTTAAATGTCACAACGGCACATGCTACAAGTTCTATAAAAATAAACATCCTCACAATTTCCCTCCACTTGGTAACAGTTTTTGACTTGACGTACTGCAAAGTTATAACCAATCCACGGCACTTAGGACTCCTGATCTTTTCTAGTATTCTTGATTTTAATAAATTTGTTTATTCAGAAAATATCTAATTTGAATTTACAAACATTGATCATTATTTAAAATATACGATAAAGGCAGAGCTAAAACATATCACATTTGGAATTTCGCCATTCTGTTTTTCCAATAGACGAGTTCAACACTTGGTCCTGTGTCGTCTGCCTCCCTCCTTATCTGCTCACTTTCCACGAGAATAATTTTCACTCTCTGACACCACAGCTGCAGCAATTCTTCCATCAACTTTATAGTTTCTTCATTTTTACCTTGGTGTAGGGTTTTCAGAACTTTGTATAGGAAGGATTTTTAAGAAACCATTTAAAGTGATACAAGTGATAGTAACGGTATAACAAAGTTGAGATGTGATAACATTAATTGTAGTGATATTATTGTTAACAACACGATGGAAAGTTGATGAGCTCAAATTTAAAATCTCTATTTAGCTTTGGTTGTACTGTTCATTAAACATTTTGAACGTTTCTTCAGTTATGTGCAATTGGGCATATATGTATATATTTTTATTTAATTTTCGCTATATCATTTTTCTTTCTCAGATGGATAAATGTCGGTTTTAAAAAATTATATGGTATTTCGACACATCTTGTCAGTTGATCTATTTTGAGACTTCGACGTAACAATTTGAATTAAGTTGGCTTGTTTTTTTTATTTTAATACGTGAGAGACATTATTAAAGTTGAACATCCAATAATTGTTAAGAAAATTTTGTTTTGTAAAAAGATTAAAGTTTTAAGATGTAGTTGTGTAGTTAAAATATTGCTAAATGATTTGAAGTAACGAAAATAATAAAAAATAATAAAAGAATGGCTATAAAGAAACAACAAATACTGGCGTTGATGTATTCAGAGGCAGACTTCATGGTCTCCAACATTGAGGAGCAGGCGTTCTCAGGGAAGGTGACTTCAGCGTTCAGAGATTTCTTCGAGTTAGCCATGCTGGTAACACACTTGTCAACTGATTCTAAAAAGTTGGCCTTCACGTTCACTTTTTTATCGATTACATCGTTTCCCCATTTCTTTGAAAATGTTGAATAATATATAAATGCATTAAAATAATTAATATATACTCGTGTGCATTTTTAAAAACTTATACTAACATATATGTAAATGTATTAATAAATGAATAAATATATTATATATGTGTATATATAAATAGATGTGTGTTTGTGCGTGTGTTAGTGTGTGCGTTTTCTCAAATCTTAGAAACTTGGTGAACGGCAGCATAAACGAGTAAGAAAACACGAAAAAGAGCGACGTGTTCATCAGTTCGACAGAAGGTCAAAGGAGGCTGATTGGAGGCTTTTATTCGAGGTACTGAAAACATTCTAGCCTTAAATGAATCTTCATCAAAGATCATTTGATTTATTTCTTTCAACAAGGCAGTCGATTACAACATAAAGCTTTTGCTCAAGTCCTTGCCGTGTTGTATCATTAGAACAACACCGACAGTAAATTATGACAACTTAAATTTTTAAACTCGCTGAACAGTTTGTCAGTAAAATGAACATTATTCAATATTGAATGTAAACTGTGCATTACATTTACATAATCTAATGTAATCATAATAGAATAATAACTGCCCACTTCTTGAAGCTTCATGTAAGCGCTGAAGACATGTGATGTGATTTTTTCAAAGCCATGCAAAAAACTTTCTGAACTTTCAACTTGCATGAAGTTGACGTCATTTGATATCGTGTCGATGGTTATTGCTTTCTTGTTGCTTGATCTCAAAAAAACAAAACACATTCCCGTCAGCACCTTTAAAGCACATTCAACTCAAGTTAACGTTGAGACGGTTCAATTTAGCGAGGGCTTCGGTTACTAAAAAGTATGAACTAACGTCTTGTAGGCCGTCAGTTATGAAAATTTTCTTGACCATTGCGGGTGGGTGAACATAGGAATCCAATTTCTAAATTCATAAAACAATTTGACAGACTCAAAATAACCATACAATATTTTTATTAATTTTCTAAATAAATATAAAGGCGATTTACTAAAAGTTCAACTATAGTAATTAGTGAACACAAACTCACAAAAGTTTGTTTCTACCTTAAACGCAATTTTTACATTTATGTCCAAGAAAATCAACAGCCAAACTAAGCATGCAAATACATAGTTACTGGCCATAAATAAATCTATTAAATACGTAAACGCATATTTAAAAATATATTATATATATAATTATTTATTTATTTGCATATGTGGCATTTTAGCAATTTGTTAACATCTTTCAGTCTTGGTTCATAGCCTGCAGTCAAATCACATCCGCGAAAATTTATACCGCACACCAAAAACCGCGGCCGACTACTCAGCTTTAAAAAGTTATAGTGTAAAAAAAGGCTGTCTAAAGCGTATATTCAAAATATAAACTATTCAAATCGTAATAGATTCAAATCAGTCAATCAACCAATTGTGCTTTATAATGAAACGCCAAATAAGACGAAACTAATTCTACAACTCCAAAATGCTAGCAAAATACTCTAAAATAATAAAATAAAACTTACATCTTGATGGTAAAATATGATCTTCTTCCAACCGTTGGGAGCCAAGAACTCCTCCAACGTGTCAAACTTTTTAAAAAATTTGTTTGTGTTATTTCTTGATAAGAAATTGTTAATAAAATAAAAATTTTCAAAAAACATCTTTAACTTTTTCATCGCCGAGAATTTGATCCTCCAGAACAATTGAATCTATTTCGATAGCTGCTGCGAGCTAGAATAACAAAAACGTTTATATTGCTATTGAGAACATCTGGAAGTGATTCGTTGTAGTAACAACAAAGTCACTTGAAATTATAAGGAAATTTAATGTTTATGATACGAGTCAAGCTTCATACCAATGAATTGAATTGAAAACATTGAATAAAATTTTGTATATTTTAACTAATTTTAATAATAGATGCAATTCAATTTTATGATTTTTTATTAATTATAAAAGAACTTAAAACAAATAAATGTCGTTGGAAAAATTTTTGCTAAACTTTCCAAAACATTTAAAACTTTTTTGGGTGAATGTTCTAAAAACTACAAAGTTGAAAAAATAAGAAAAAATTATTACCTTGGAAAATAAATAAAGATATCTAGCATCCAGCTGAAAATAAGATAAAAATATCATATGTATTTCGCTTGAATATATGAACGTAATGTTACCAGGGTTCGTCTATTTTCTTTGATAGCTTTCAATTCTTGCTGGAGTTTCTTGGTTTGATCATTCAAAACTACGTTTGTGGTTTTTCCTCCTTTCTGAAACCAAAAATTTGTTAATATTTCTCATTAGGAACTTTTGGTTCAAAACACTCCAATAGCCATGATTAATCGCATTTTAATTGGAAATATAAAAACGTACTTCAAGCCATTAACCCACCTCAGCGAATCAGCTCAATCGGTAGAAGTGCCATGTCAGATGTCTCGCGCTGTAATTACGCGATGACTGGTTCGAATACATTTTGTCCGAAACTCAAAAACCATCATACGCCATGCACACATAATACGGTGCTTGCGCGTGCATACATAACGTGTAAGTGCGTCTGAACTTATATGTGAGTCTGAACTTATATGTGAGTCTTGCCGTATGGAGAGTACAGCCTCTGTGGCACAACAGTTTAATAATATAAGAGAATGACGTGAAAGAAGTTCCGCGTTTGACAGATCTGCATTACAAAGAATGAAAACGTGATTTAATTTATTTCGTAGACGAAGCTAAAGGAGAGCTTCGTGACTGTTGTTACATCTGCCGGGCATGTTTTGTAGTCATTTCGATACGATACATTTAATAAAAGTGTGGACGTAGGATGCAAAGATGTCCAAAATCATGTAAAAAAAAGTAATAAATGAGAAAATATTTTAATAAAAAATTCGTTATTTCAAAAAAATGTAAACATGTTTATTAAAAATGAAACCACCGTTTTCAGGCCGGTAATCGAACTTCTCCTGTCGGTTGATCTGTTTGATCGAGACCCATCTTAACAACAAAAGGATAATTTGAATTTGAAATAAGAATTCAAATTACTAAACATTTAAAAAATTTGAAAGTGATTTAAAATGAAAGTGCGAAAATATTACTCAAACTTTAAAGTATTTAATTTAAGAAATGTTCACTCGAAATATGACAAAACCTGAAGTGGCATAGTCCTCAGGAGCCAGGTACGAATTTGATTTTGGAGCGTTTCCAGAGTGACTCCAGTTGGGCTCTTTGTCATCCATCTATTCAAACATTCGAACAATTAAGTGGCAACGAGCACTTAGTTGGACAATTGAACGGAATAACGTGGTATGAATATCTAGATGGCTTACAGCTATCAACATCATCAATTATGCATTCATTTTTTCTATTGCTATGGAAATGCATGGAGCTTCCAAATATTGTTTAATAATTTTTTTTCTCTTCTATCGTTTTCATTTTATAGACAGGTACCTATATACGCACACAAAACTAAAATTTCTAGCTCAAAATTTTTCAACTTATCATCCATTCGCCTTTCATTTTATTTCTTCACGTTTTTTGTTCTATTTTTTTTCATATATTAAAATTACATAACTGAGCAAAATATTGCCACACATTTTTGACGACGCTTTTGTGTGTTGTGTTTTTAATCAAATTTCTTGAATAGTGAGCTTTCAAAGAATGTGCATATAGGTGAAAAATAAAAAAAATAACAGACTGAGCCAATGAAAAGGACTTTTTGTTTAACATACAAATTTAGTTGGGATTTCTCATGCATTTTAACGATTTAAATTATCGACACAAAACTTTTGATATCGACAGCGTAATTGCGAAAACTTTACAGGTATTAATTTTTTGCATTTATAAAAATGCAGGCACTCTGCTCATCTCATTCACACTTTAATTATCTAAAATATTTCCAAAGTTCCATTAATTCTCTTTTGACCTAATAAAATGAAATGTTAACATAACAAATAGCGTGTATACAGTGGCGAATACAGACAACTTTGACGGCGGGGCCAAGATTTTGAAAAATATTTGACGACCGGGGAAGGTAATTTTAAAAAAAGTTGACGATGAGAGGCTAACTTTTCTGCCAATGGACTAAAAACGTCAATTTTCCCGTCAAAAACACTACTTTTTCCGTTAAAACAACGACCATCACTAATTTTTAACACAAATAACGCTCAAAACCAGATGGAAGCCAGTGCCCCACCAGATCCGCCACTGCGCCTGTGCGTATAAAATCGATGAATGCAGGAAACAAAAAATTTGATGTTGAGTTATCGAGCTAAGTCGAAATCAAAAATATACCTTGTTTTGGAATTGAAAATAAGCAGATAAGTGTCTATCAAAGTTTATTCGTCCCCAAATTGTTTTAATAGTGCTAAATTAATATAACGACTCTTTTTTTTAGATACGTTTGTTTTAAACAATGAATCTTCAACAGGCTTATATGCAAATGGCTTTAATTCTGCATTTGAATATTAAGGAATCAAATTACAAGGAAATTAGGACAATGATGCAATAAGTTCCTTGTTCTATTTTCAAACAAAAGTCACACACACACACACACACACACACACACACACACACACACACACACACACACACACACACATATATATATATATACATATATTACGACTAAGTCAACAAACGAAAACATTTTGCCATAAAACAATAGTGAAAAAATAATTTTGAGATTGAATGTTATTATAAAGCGTATGTCTTGCTGGTCTGTTTAATGGCGTTATAAATGAAGAGATTGTTGATGGGGATAAACTGATGAGTGATGAGCTTGATGGCCTCTTGTGCTGTGATGCCTCCCATGTAAGCAGCCACGGCATGAACTTCACTGGCCCCAAATCTACAACTGCAACAAATTTGTTTCAAATTTATATCGAACGTTTAAAGAAAGGAAAACAGGAGTTTACAAATTGATGCATATCAGAGCAAAAACAAGAAAGATGTATCAACCAGTTCTGAAACGGCAACCTACTTTGAATATAATCCAATAAAACTGTTCAAAAACATTCAATATCTTTGAAAAACTTAACATCTATTTACACCAGGCTTCAAATACAGCCAATGGCTACTACATTTGCTCTTTAAAATTTTCAAGATTGCAGTTTAAATAAATTGCCTTTAAAAAAAATCTTAAAAAATGTTTTTATAAATGTATAGAGAAAACTACTTTTTTTATTTTAATATTCATATGGACAAATGGACTTTAGTTTGCGTCCATCAAACATTCGCCAAGTTACGCTAAAAGCATTAAATTTATAAATTTCATTAAAAGCAGAAAATACGGCATATCAATCAATCAATCTTCGTTTAGCGTCCAGAGACCCAGTTTCCCGAGGTAGGACGTTGTTTTCTTTGCCATCAATTTTTTGCGCCAAATTAGACGATCAGTTGTATCCATTTCATATAAGTTTAGAGCTTTCATGTCTTGCTCGATTGTTTGTGACCAGGACTTCTTTAAACGGCCTTTGGAACGTGTGCCAGGTACCTTAACATCTGCAAGAGAAGTTATTTCCACTTCGTTTGACATGACCAAACCACCGCAGACGGTGTTGTCGGCGTTCGTCCTTTATATCATTTAAACCAGCACGACGCAGGATTTCGGTAGATTTGATGTGGTCCTTCAGACTAATTCGTTGCATCCATCGGAGCATTTTCATGTCGGTTCGTTGTAGTTGTTGTTCCAGTTTGGTTGTCATTGGCCATGTTTCTGCACCATATAACAACACCGGAAGTATCACAGATTTATAAAGTCTTGATCGTAGTGGTAGTGGGATGTCACGCCGCATCAATATAGAGGCAAGGAAATGCCATTTATTCCAGGCTGCACGTATGCCTGCTCGAACGGCAGCTTCAGCTGTTTCAGTACAATCCAGAACATCCCCTAGATATTGAAACGATTACCTTAATGGCTTCAAAAACATTGCTATTTCGTATTTGTTGTTGTGGATTGATGCAAGCAGGACAAACAAAATTGGACACTTTAGATAAAGTACCAATTATTTTTGAACAACGTTTGTGACACCACTGGTTACACTTCTGACACTTGATTGAATTGTTACCAACACCAGCTTTACAAACTGAACAGGGCCATCGTCCAAGAGCTGTGGATTGGATGGGTTCACCAGTGTTCATTGCTTTGGTTTTGCTGATGTTGACTTTGAATCCATGATCGGCGAGTCTGGTGTTCCAATCTTCAAACATCTGTGCTGCATTCTGCTCAGACGTGGCTGATAAAACGATATCATCAGCATATATTAGATTCCAAATGTCACCAGTGCGTATCGGTTTTGTGATTTCTTCCATCACAGTTATAAATAACAGTAGACTAAGAATCGAGCCTTGGTGAACTCCAACGCCGATGTCAAATGCATCTGTGTTTTCAACCGTTGTGCTGACAAAAGTCTTAGTATTCGTATACATTTCCATCACAAGTCGAACAAGATATTCTGGAATGAGTTAGTTGTCGACGTAGACTCCACCTGATTGCTTCACGGGGAACTCGATCAAATGCTTTTTCAAAGTCTACAAAAATGTGTGATAGTTGCTGATGCTTTGCGAGGTACTTCTCTTGCAGTTGCCGAAGGATGTGAATTGCATCAATTATTGATTTCCCCGCTAGGAAACCAAATTGATAATTTCCGATTGTGATGCACGACGTTAATCTTCTCTCATTGATTTTCGCGTCAATTTTCAGGGAATGTTCTAAAAGACGTATACCCCGACAACAGTTCAATGGATCACCTTTGCCTTTATATAGCGGAACCGTCATGCTATAGTTCCATTCAGTCAGCATTGAGCAATTTCTCCAGATTTCACAGCAAAGTTGTAGTAACGTTTGGATACCTGCAGTACCAGATGCTTTGGTAATGTCATTGGTGATTCAAGAGTGCCCTGCTGCCTTTCCATCCTTCATAGCTTTCCGAGCTTCTGTAAGCTCCTCTAGTGATGTCTGGAATCGGACCTTCGATGGATGGAGCGTCAAAGTTGACGCTCAAATAGAAAAGACAGCATATAATATTTAAATCTAAATCTAATAGTTCAGTAAGCACTGTGAGCTGGAGCTTTGTTGGTACATGAGTATTCGAATCAACGATGTGTAAACAAATAGTTCTGGGTCTTAGTGCCAAACCCAACAACAATACGAGAAACGGAAACATTTTTATTATAAATTTAGTTTACTTTTAAATTTTGATAAATTTTTGTTTTTAGAGCAAATTATTTGGTTTGATTCGTTTAACTTTTGTTAAAAAAATTCACATAATGTGAACCAATAATTTGCTTCCAGGCCACAGTCTTAAGTAATTTTTAGTATTGACCGGCTAAATAAAAAGCATTAAGGTGATAGAATCAGGAAAAAAGATTTAAAAGAACAAACAATTCATGTATGTAGTCATCTGAAATGTTCGGAATGTTCAATTCTTGACAGATCTTGGTAACTTGCATCTGAAATGCAAATAAAATATCGATGTTAACAAAAAAAGTAACAAATTACAAAAATGGAAACACGAATAAAACGTTGAGACCTTAAAAAGAGAAACGTCATCGAGCGAATCATCAAAAGAGCCTGGATACCTTCTGTGATCTACGTAGAAGGAATCAGCTGCCCTGGTCATCACGTAGTACAACACTTCATCATCGTCACTGTCGGCCAACGTACTTACTATTTTCACACGGTGGCAACAATTTTTAGTTGAATAATTTTGTCAACTCAATAAAAAGTAACGAAAAAATGCAAGTAACCTATTTGAAAAAGCCCAGCATCCTGTGGTTCGTACTCGCAAGCCAGTGACCTCGTTCTCATCAATCGTAAATTGCTTGCATTCTTACCTGTCACCGATTTCATACAAATTTTCATCGCTTGTGGCATAAAGAAAGCAAGAGGGGGAATTTGAAATAAAATGAAAATATAAAGAATACCAAATGAATAAAATCATAATGAAAAATCAGAAAAAGTTGGAAAAGACTGGAAAAAAACCTGTTACTATGATTAGTTAAGTAACTTGAAGTTCAACTAAGCAACAAAATTATTGGAGAATGATTTGAAATGTTGCGTAATTTAAGTGTTGAGACAAGGCGAGTTGAAAAACAATGGAGGAAAAGATCAGACGAAGAGATGTGGAGTTGTGACGAATACCGGGAAGTAGACTGGCTCTTATTAGGTTGGAAAAACTGAATCTGTACAAGATTTGAGAGCGCGGTTATAACATTAAGGCAAAAGAAGTTGTCACAAAAAGGGTAAGAGCGACAAACTTGAACCCAATCAGCCGATCACGAACACATTAGTTTACTGTTATATCTCGTTAAACGATGAAACGAAATGAGCTGTCTTGACTGGTAACAGAAAGTTTCAAATTATTTTTTATTATGACAACAATCTTGACAACCTATTGGAAAAAGTCGACAATAAAAAAATATAAGTAGATCAACCGGGAAATTGAAAACTTTTGAAAAAATGATAAAGATGTATAAATGTAAAAAAGAAGATGATGCCATAACGGTGATGATGCTACAATGGTGATGGTGAAAAATGTTGTAATGAGACAATAACGAAAAATGACATTAATGACATTATTTGGTAATGAAAATAAAAAACCCACAGAATAACGAAACATCTTCCTCCGTTATGCAATCATCGGGCTAAATAGCGTAATAAAATTTTAATAAATTATTTATTTGAATTTGATCATTTTGCTTCAGCAGACAAAGTTAGTAAAGATGAAAAACGTTAGATTCACCTTAGCGGGAGAGGAGGTAGGACTTGGGTTGGTTGGTCTTTTAACATTCAGAGGTTCATCCTGGTACAGATATATTTAAAAATTAAACCCATTTATTTATTTATTCATTCATTTATTTATTCATTCATTAGTTAAATGTAAATTTATAGGAAAATAAGTTTTAAAAAAACATTCAAAGTAGAAAACGCATTCGTGAGTGTGGTTGAAATTAGTTGCAGTGCAATCGAAGTTGCCCTAAGTCGGTTGTTATAACTCTTGTAGTTTAGCAGGCATAAAAGAAAACATTGAAACAAAAGACCAATGTTTAAAAAACGCCGTTCATTGCTTTAATTGTTTTCATCAAACATCTTTTAAATGTTGATTTCATAATTTGTTTAATGAATTAAATTATTTAAATCCAGAGCCATCAGCGCTGAAAGGACGAAATGCAGTACAAAACAAACCCTTCCAATATTTTGAAGGAGTTCCGAGAGATGGGTTGACAGGCACTGCTGGTCGAGTTGTGCCTGGTCTCTGTACACCTGCTGCAGTTTAATGTAACTCTCCGTGTCTGAAGTCATGTCGGGGATAGTCCCTCGCACTGGAAAGTTCCCTGCCAACCATCGTTTCCCATTGAAAACAAGCACATTATTATCAAATTGTCAAAAATCGTTATATATGTTTACGCATACGAGTTTGCATTATCACCAACGCCTAAACAAAAAACTTGAATCCGGGAGCCTAATCCAGGCGTTTGACAAAAATATCCCTTTTTGTTAATAAGTTAATACAATTTAACCAAAGACCATCCCTACGTTTCAAATGTCATTTGTGTTTTGAGACGAGTGCCACCAAGTACCACATCTATAGCGAACAAACACGCACGCATGCGCACACACACACACACATGGACACACACACACACACACACACACACACATAACATTCAATGGCGGATCCAGAATTTGCAAGTGGTGAGAAGAAAAACATTAGTCTTTTAGTTCTAATTCTCAATAAAAGTAAATATATACAAATTTGTTTTAAATAACATAAAAAAAACTGGTGACAAGTTATTCATTTATAATTTTTTCGTTTTAGATATCTTAGTCGAACCGAATCTTTCAACTCATCTACTCCGAATTTCATTTTCACTACAAAGATCACTCGTCAAAGTGACACATTTTATCCTTCGAAGCATTTGAAAAGAATCGTTTCTCTAAAATATTAAACTCCATTTTTATTCTGTCCTTCATATCGCTATACTATACAACAGCATCTGTCCTTATTATTCTGTCCTTCATATCACTATACTATACAACAGTATCACTCAAACACCTGCTCATACAGTGAACACCAAATTTTTGCCTTTCTCCTTTTTCCAAATTTTCTTTAATATACTTTATCCTTTCAGTCTTTACAACTTTTCCTCACAAGCAACCTTTAAGCACTGTTTGAAGAACTTGTGCAAAGGCCATCATTACATCTCGCAACTGAAATAAAATTTACCAATTTAGGTCAGAAACTTAACGCTATTTTCCCTTCCTTTAAACATGGTTTCACTTTATGAACGTTTACGAAGTTATCGACGATAATGGTAATTGAACATAATTGAAAATAATAGTGACCACAAAACTTGTGAACATGAATGATGTTGATCTAATAATACTGATTTCCAAATAATTGATAACGGGAACGGAACAGTTCTCACCTTTTCCTTCGCAATCCACAAAACTCTTCAACGCTCTCAACAGTATCCAGAATGGTTTGCTCTGAATGAAAAACATGAACGTAATTAGGCAAAATAATATTACAGATAATACAAAAACTCGCGCACTAGCATACATTGTGGTGTGGGCTACCTACCAGGCACGTGATCGGTGGCCTGAAGGGTCATATGCAAGGAGAATGGAAACCATCATTAGATGAGCAACTTCGCAAACATTTGCACAGATTGTGCATGTAATATATTAAAAATTGATTAAAACTGCGATAGTAAGCACGCTACGAAAGTTTTTTTGTGATGCGCATGGTTGAATATTTTTCAACCTGACTTATAATTTGCACGATATTTAAAAAATCTATTATCTTTTCGGTAACATTTTGTAACAACTTCTAAACAACAACGGAAACAATGAAAAGTTTTCTAACATCAGAGTGAATATTCAAACAGTTTTCATCGTCAAACAGTTTCAAAAGTTCCTGGGGTATCTGAAATGAAAAAAAGAAGTGAATGGATTGCAGTTCAATGAATAAATATTTATATATGTGATTTATTTGTGAATGAAAATAAACTTAATGAAGGCTGTTCAGTTTAATGTAAGGTCCCATGATTAGGAAGCATTGATTAACTTATAAAATTCAACATTGGCATATTGGCAATTAGTTATGAAATTTCCGCTTGATAATTAACTAAAAAATTATTCTATTTAATCAACAATAAGAGAGAATTGTTGGAGACAGCAATAACTGCATAATGATAACAACAATGACAGAAATGAATGATCATAACGGAAATTATGATGATGATTTTAAAGACAGACAGACAGACAGAGAAAGATAACAAACAAATAAACAACGTTGCTCACAGCAGTTGGTAGGAGTGCAGTGTTGACATTTTTGCAAGCTTCATCGAAGTTCTCCTCTTCTTCAAACGACCCATCAGACCTCCTTAACCGTCCTGCAAAATTATCAAACCATCATCAATCCTTATGTCATCAGCTTGCTCAGTGTTGTGAAAATATCTCAAACAACTTCAAAACTTACCATTCTTTATCATCATCTTTATTTCATTCTTCTCTGAATAAGTTGTAGGAAACTTGCCCCCATGCTGTTTGATGAAATGCAATTGTTTGACAAAACTGATCATTGAGTTGCCAACCAGATAAATGAAATGATATGTTAGACATGAATAAGTTTGTGGCCGACTGAAAATTTTGAAAAAAAACACTAAAACTGTGTGACTGTGCGTGATTAATTACCAAAAACTTTCTTTACATCGTATTACAAGACGAACATATGAACATTAAAAAAATATATAAATGCATTTTTTTAAATACTAAAAAGTATTAAAGGGTGATGAAAAACTAAATGAACGTACATTGTCCATCCATGTTTGTAGGTACTTGAATATAATGACCAACCAGGGTACGTGGCTGTGTTCCTAGGTAGAGAGAACAATGCAACGAATCTATTATTTGTTTTCTATCAAAACTGCTAAAAACTTATGTAAGAACATCAAAAAATTATTAACTAATTCCGTAATAAAATAATAATCTTTATCCTTTCATATTCTTATAATCCAAGTTGTTTCCATTTCGCAACCACATATACAACTCTGTCCTCTTCGCCGCCAACGACATAAATATCATTACCGGCACCAAATAGCAACGCATCGATTTGATTCCGTGTAGATTTCAATTCACTGCATCATTCAAAGGTACCTCGGCGCCTGTTCAACTCAACTCATTAGAGATTTGAAGGAGCATTAGTTTAAGAGAGCCTCTCCTCTGTCTACCCTGCATCACCTCATAACATGCTCTTAAAGTACATAACATAACATAACACAAAGAAACATACAAGCAAGCCAGCAAAGAAAGAAAGAAAAAAAAGAAAAATAAAGAAAGAAAAAAAAGGAAGAAGGAAGGAACAAAGGAAGGGAGGAAGGAAGGAACGAACAAATATATAAACATACAAACAAACATACAAGCAAACGAAACGAAACGAAATTTTATTTGCTTCTCAAAATTAAAAATTAAAAGAAAGCAGGATGACCATAATTTATAAAAAATTCATCTAGTATGGCCACAGTATGTAGTATGTATATCTAGTATGTATATCACCTAAACAGAAATGTTCTATGTTCGTACAAAAGTTATTCAGCAAATAATAAAAATATTCCCAAATGATCTATGAGAGGCATGTTAGATGTTAGTTGTTAGCAAATTAACGAACTCAACTATGTTAGCAAAACAGGTGTTAGTTGTTAGTACGATGGTTCACGGTTTATATATAACAATGTTTGGTATCTATCCAGAAAAACACGGGATAGACATTACATAGTTATCTATATATTTAAGCAACATATAGAACGACATGAATAGTAAATCTCACAGTAAATAAATATATAAAAACTATATACTGATGTCTGTGGATTTTTTCAAGTGAGTAAATTAGATGCGACTTTTCCAATGAGATCAATCAATAAAGCAATCAACCAATTCCTCAATCAAGAAATCAATATAATAATTAGAAATTTAAAGCGATAGATAATAAAATAAATAAATAAAAATTGTACAAATACATCCGCTCGTTTAGCGATCAGCAACAGTTAACATTCAATGTCATTATTCAACAAATAAATTTTCAATTTATTTTTAAAATTTGCTTCATTAATTTTATTGAATGGAAAACTATGTTTTAAAATAACATTCCAAATTCTTGGCCCTTTACAAATGATATGAAAAAAAGAATGAATGTTTTTGATTTATTTGCTAATATATTATATTGACGTCTGGAATTATTTATCGGAATAAAAAAATTATTGAAAATAGAAGGAAGTTTGTTAGAAAGTTGACAAAATTGGCTGTAAAATATAAATTTAATTTATCAAAATCTAAATTATTAGTTAATTTGAACAGTTGAGGTGTGTGAGCATCTTTTCAAGAAAGCGTGATGATCCTCATTGCTCTTTTCATCAGAACTTTTACAGACATGGTAGTTGATGGGTAAGCACTGGCTCAAATGACGTTGCAGTATGATACATGGAGCAGACAGATGGCGTTATAAAGAAGATTTAAACATTTTTTTGGGAGATAAAACTTTATCCTATTTATTATTCCTAATGATCTGGCCAACTTGGTTGAAATGTGATTGACGTGGGGTTTAAAAGTTAGTTTCTGATCTAAGAGGACACTCAAAAATTTTACTATTTTGCTCTCGACTATTTGTTGATTGTTAATTGTGATTTTGAACGGTTCTTTATAGTTTAAACACTGCACTGGACCGAAGACGATCATTTAGGTTTTTGAAGTATTCAGTGCTAATTTATTGTCGTTGAACCATTTGACGACGTTTTTTAATTCAACATTTGTTCGGTCAACAACACCATCGATGCTAGTTCCGCTACCAAAAATGTTGGTGTCATCTGCGAAGCAAACATAATCAAAGTAGTTTGATGCATTTGGTAAATCGTTGATAAACAAGATGAAAAGTAGTGGTCCCAAGATACTTCCTTGTGGGACTCCAACACCATTATGTTGTAATGTTGAATTTTTATTTCCCCAGCTGACAAACTGCTTTCTTTCAGACAAATAACTTTCAAACCATTTCAAAGTCGTTCCTCTTATGCCATAGTGTTCAAGCTTACCCAACAGGATGGAATGATCAATACAATCAAAAGCTTTCGACAGATCTAGACATGTTCCTACGATGAATTGTTTTTTCTCCGCAAGCTTTCCAATTTTCCTTACGAGTTCTTTTATTGCCAGTTCTGTTGAATGTTTCTCTCGAAACTCGAACTGGTAACATGATAGAATATTATTTTTCTCTAGAAACGATATTAGTCGTTTATGCATAATTTTTTCAATTATTTTCGAAAATGCAGGAACTAATGAGATGGGTCGAAAATTAGAAACATCATTATTTCCGGTTACTTTCTGTAACGGTATGATTTTAGATGTTTTGAAGCATCTAGGAAAAATGTCCTGGTTATGACATTAAACTGACCCTCACTGCCTTGTGAGTGATGTTGGATCATCAAAGGCTAGGCCCACCGCTTATAACTGTGGTTGCGTAAGGAAGGGCGTCCTGTGTAAAAACTAGCCAAATAATAAATGCTTATGATGATGACGGAAAAAACAATGGCCCTCAGTATCCGGCAGAAGAGGGTGCGAAGAATCTCCGGAGACCCAGTCGATGGGGTTGTGGTGCAAGGCCCTGTGGATGGTCTGGCTACTGGCACCCCACTCTATAGTGTGGCGGTGCAAGGCACTATAGATGGAAGGACTACTTGTAGACCAAGGGGTTGGAGGTTTGGTACCTGGAATGTAGGCACGTTGACAGGAAGAAGTTTGGAAGTGGTGGAGGAGCTGCAGAGGAGAATGGTTGACGTGGCTGCATTACAGGAGGTCAGATGGAAGGGTGAGGGTACAAGGTTTGTGGGGGCTAAAGGTGGAAGATATAAGTTGTGGTGGAAGGGGGATGATGGTACGGGAGGAGTTGGTGTGATGGTAAGAGAAGAGTTGGTGGAGAAGGTGTTGGAAGTGAGGCGGAGAAGCAATGGGGTAATTGTGGTGGTGATGGTGTTGAAAAGT